AAGGCATCGGTCAGGGTCCGGGATCGAACCTATAACCTCCTGCATATCAGGCGATGGAAATAACATCTCGCCACCTTCTCGTCGCAAGAGGTTCCCATTACATTCACAACACATTTACAATTCAAACCAGGACTTTTTTCAAATGCATTTAGAACACAGTGGATACGATAAATATGTTCTTATTTATATCATGATCAGCCATGGTCCATCCACTGCTGCATGAAGTTATCTCCCCCCACAGGAGTCATCTCTGACAATCAGGCAATGTAATAGTGCACACTTACAAGTGAAGTATTGGAAATGACGGCAGGAACTTCTTGACGGGTAACACACTTTTATTAAATCTTGACGTGTCACAATACGTGTGGTCTCTATTCTTTGTACTATACACTCCACTTAACTCGTGTAGACTATGCCTCTGGCTACACACAATACACTTGACTCGTGTAGACCCTATGCCTCTGGCTACACACAATGCATTCGGCTCGTGTAGACCCTATGCCTATGGCTACACACAATACACTCGCCTCTGGGTTACACAGAGTCCCGGTCCCGTTAGGACAGCGGGACTAGGTACCGCAGAGCCCTATGTCTTCGATCCCCGTCTTCATTCTTCGCTGGTTACATACTGCCCTTACGCCTGTGTGCATCCCCTTTTATAGCCCCTGCTCACGGGAGACGGAGCTGATGCGGACGTCGACGTGAGCATCGCTCCTTAGTGAACCAATCACGACGCGCTCTCTCTACGATCCGTTTTCCCCCAGCGCGTGTTAACACTATTCCACCAATCACACCGCGCTGTCACCTGATCACTCCCTCTCAGCGCGTCACCGGCACACAGCCAATCAGCACCCCGTAACCCACGACCCCGCGCTGACCCCTGATCCTCCACCGTCAGCGCGCGTCACCACATACACAGCCAATCATTACGCGCTGGCATACGATCCCTAATCCCAGCGCGTATCACCACTACACAAGCAATATAGTAGCTTCCACCAATGATTGTAAACACGGTAAGTTACAGGAGCAGCAAACAACTTTAAACGACTAAAAATTGACCCATTGTCTCTGAACATTGGCATTCTATATTCATTGTACAGCACACCGCAATGTTAATGCGGCACAACAACAAAAACGTGCAACCGCGTGGTACAATAATCCATCGGCCATCATCGTTATGCCAAACCACCAGTTCCTGAGGAACTGCTACCATTGTGCGTGCGTTTCGTTGAAAACTTTTCGTTTTCCGGCCTTTGGACGAATATTCACGTCGCGATGCTTTGGTCTTCCGTCGGTTGCTGATTTGAATCACTGTCGTCGAGAAGAAAGTGGCCGAGGTTTCGTTTGTGTGCGCGCTCGCAAACCTCAATGTTGTGTTTCGTGTTTAGGGGTTTTCATAATCAACGTTTTTGGGTTTAGATCGCGTTAATTATAAATGTGTCGTAACCCTCCACCACCCGACACGGTGTGTTGAAGCGTGAAACCACAACAAACCACAACATTTGTGGTTTCACGCTTCAACACACCGGTGGGCTAAAGTAGTGAACTATTTGCCTGTCAACGTGACACTTTTTTTTGCTGATTGGCCGTGTCGGGTGGTGGAGGGTTACGATACATTTATAAATAACGCGATCTAAACCCAAAAACGTTGATTATGAATAATATTGGTCGCGAAAGCCTGCCACGTGTTTCGGGGTTTTGTTTGGCGTGGCCCAGGAATGGGCCACACGCAGCCCCCACAATGCTGACCTGAACACTCACGCTCGGACACCGAAACACGCAACGCAGAACATCCCTGGCTTTGATCTTCCACGAAGCTCATGGTCCACCCTAAATCGCATCCACTGCACAAACCATGCCAGACAGATGCGGAAACCTCACGCAGCACAAATGGGAAATGAAAAACTCTCCAGGAGCATGCGACTGTGGTCATCCAGAGCAGACCGTACCACGTATAACGACGCAATGCCAGAGCCACACATACGAAGGAGACATCACGGCAATGAACTCCTCTGCTGCTGCTCCTTGTGGTCGTTGCTCTCCATCGACATCAGCAGCCGCACTTAAGAAAGAAAACGAGCGCTGCTGTGGAATCAGTTTTCTTGATCTGCCAACTGCCTCGATATCAATTGAACACGTAATAGGCTTTCGCGAACAATATGATCCGTAATAGAGGTTTTTTTTTAACACGTAGGCTTTCGCGACCAATGTTATTATGAATATAGGTTTTGTTGGGTTAGTTCGCGTAAATGTGTCATTGAACCCGCCACCACCCGACACAGCCAATTGGTAAAGTTTGTAGCGTAAACAAAACGTGAAAATTAGTTACTCGTTCAGCACACCGGTGCCTTGGAGAGTAAACCCACAAGATTTATAATTCGAGTGCCGTGACGTTTCGCCGGTGATTACAACAGCCAGCCTCATCAGGCGACGGCCAAAAATTGTGGATAGATCCTCCTCCTGTTTCGGTTTTAAATAGAGGTGGGGGGGGGGGGTGTGATGTCGTCACTTGTGAGTCAATCGGGCGCCAAGACCAGAGGGGCTTGTGTGTCAATGTCCACGTCTCGATGTCAAGTCGGCCGTGACAATGGCCGTTGTGTATTTGTATCGCCCCGCTTTGCCCTTTGCTCTTCCCAATGCACACGGCAGACGAGTCGCAGTGCTCCGTCCCTCTCTTTAGCCGCAGGTTCACTCGGAAATCAGCTGGCCCACGTGCGTTTGCACCCTCCAACAACTGCCTAACAATCTGTATGGTGACGTCACTATCGCCGTGGTGTTAATTACCTTTTTTTTGGGGGCAAAAGCACTCGCGTCATAGGTAATTAATTAATAAATAATATCGCTATTTGCAGTGTATAAGACTTTGTCGAGTTTATTGCAGTCTTTCACGACTACAGTATTTTCTTAGGATCAAACATTTTTTACGAGGGTAACTTTACACAGAGGGCCATACAATGATCATGCGATGCTGTATATATCGTCACTCCACCCTCATAGTTGTGGAGAGAGTGGAGAGTTTCCCATACCTGGGCAGTGTGCTCATGACCGGCTCTGGTTTGACAGCAGAGGTTTCACTCCGAATCAATCGAGCGGGATTATCTTTTCATCGGCTGCGTAACGCTGTGTGGTAGCTACCTGGCCTGTCGCTCCGCACGAAGCTTCAGGTCTTCTCGAACCACAATCATCCCCTCCCTTCTCTACGTTTGCGAAACGTGGACCCCCCTAATGGAACATCTTCGCCGGTTAGAAACATTTAGGCTGTCCTGTTTACGATCTATCCTGGATTTAACCAGGTTGGATTGTGTGAGCTCACATATCCTTGAAAGATCTGGACAAAGCCCTATCGGTGAGCTCCTCCTGCAGGCAAGGCTTCGTTGGCTGGGTCATGTAGCCCGCATGCCCAGCCACCGCATGCCTAAACAGCTTTTGTTCGGCCGGATCGAGGGGGCTAAACAGACGCGGCACGAGCTAGAGAAGAGATGGAGTGATGTGGTGCAGGAGGATGTGGATCTGAGTGGACTTGCTGATGACTGGTACCAGCGGTGTCAAGGTCGGCCTCTGTGGAGGAGGCTCGTGAAGGACGCTACTGGGCAGTTGGAGGCAGTCGCCCTCCAACAACGGAGGGCGGAGGAGCGACCCTCACAACAACGACCGGAACGCCGGGTGGCTAAAGCAGAGCAAGTTGGCACAGTAGGGGGCACAGGTGGTGCATCAACCACTCATCTCAATCAGTTGACCTGTGGCATGTGGGTCTGCCCCGTGACCTCCTGCCAGCGAGCGTTCGACACTTCACGTGGCCTCAAGGTGCACGTAGCCTGGCACAAGCGCCGTGGTGACGTCACCGCCACTTAGTGGCGAATGGCGGTTGTCAAATCGTCATATCGAGGTATCCCATTTTGCTGAAATAAACAAACGGGTTCCCCGTGTCGCCTCTAACAACAGACCGATGGGGCAAGGCAAGTTCTGTTAGCGAGCACCTATTAGGGCGCGGGGTGGGTGGCAAGTCCCACGCCCGGCCGCCTTTGTCTCCCCAGTCTTTAGGTTTACGGTACTCGTTTTTTTTTTAGACCGAGTCGACTTAGTGGGGTGGCGGGGAGGTGGGGGGCCCAGGAAAGTTTCAAATAGTTGCCCGTGAGCGGGAATGGAACCCGGGTTCGAAGGCGGAGTTTGTGCGCGTCAACCACTGCGCCACCGCTCCCCCTCCACGCCGTGGACGAGAGCCAGCCGGAGACGTGAGTCGCCTTCCACGCGACTCTGCACACAGCCCCAGGAGCCATGTGAAATTGCCTTTGCTCGTACTACCAGTGCCGGATTAGTAGCTACTACATATGTAGCAGCTACATATGTAGTAGCTGCTACATATGCACTTTCAAGGGCCCCGCGCTAAATGCTCTCAAGCTATCAATTCCGGCCCAGGCATTCTCTGCACTTGCTCTATTACTATAGTACTATACCGCCTTCAACTTTTACTGGGTGTTTAAGGTTGGCGATTTGTTGTATTGTCTAGCTGTATTGCAAATGAAAAAATACAATTACTTTACTATGCAAGTTAAACATTTGTGTTTTAATATTTTTGTTTTCATTCAGGGGCCCTTTTTAACATATCCTACAGCTTAATCCGACACTAGCTCTGACTATCTATGCTGTTGCTGTATCTGCACACTGGAGTCAACACTCATGACGAGGACCCCCCCCCCCCCCCCCCAAGGGAAAAGTGCTCGCGCCCGTACGAAGTCCGGCACGAGCACACGAGGTGGTGGGGGGGGGGGGTGGCCAGTGCCACGCCCGACCGCCTTTGTCTCCCCAGCGGGGGGCTCAGCGCTGTTGTTGGCGAGGACCGGTGCCACGTGGCAGCAGGAGCAGCAGCGGCAAGTCGCCCTTGGGGCGCACTGAGCGACCCGGAAACAAACACCGACTGGGTGGTGCAGCATCACTGCAGGAGGAGCAAAGAAGAGAAGCAACAGCATCATCAGCAGCAGCGTCAGTCAGCGGATGAGGCTTTCACGTATCTCTCTCTCTCGAAATTTGCGTGTCATCTTTGCGCAGTGTCAATGCTAATCTTCTCTGTATCGTTCCAGTTTTAGTAGATGTACTGCCGGAGCAAGTCTCTCTCTCTCTCTCTCTGCCTGTGGGTGACTGCTGCCTTCCCGGACTTGGCCGTCAACACCGCTGGCCATACTCACTGCTGCCTGCTACTCATACTCACTGCTGCCTGCTACTCATACTCACTGCTGCCTGCTACTCATACTCACTGCTGCCTGCTACTCATACTCACTGCTGCCTGCTACTCATACTCACTGCTGCCTGCTACTCATACTCACTGCTGCCTGCTACTCATACTCACTGCTGCCTGCTACTCATACTCACTGCTGCCTGCTACTCATACTCACTGCTGCCTGCTACTCATACTCACTGCTGCCTGCTACTCATACTCACTGCTGCCTGCTACTCATACTCACTGCTGCCCTCACTGCTGCCTGCTACTCATACTCACTGCTGCCTGCTACTCATACTCACTGCTGCCTGCTACTCATACTCACTGCTGCCTGCTACTCATACTCACTGCTGCCTGCTACTCATACTCACTGCTGCCTGCTACTCATACTTACTGCTGCCTGCTACTCATACTCACTGCTGCCTGCTACTCATACTCACTGCTGCCTGCTACTCATACTTACTGCTGCCTGCTACTCATACTCACTGCTGCCTGCTACTCATGCTCACTGCTGCCTGCTACTCATACTCACTGCTGTCTGCTACTCATACTCACTGCTGCCTGCTACTCATACTCACTGCTGCCTGCTACTCATACTCACTGCTGCCTGCTACTCATACTCACTGCTGCCTGCTACTCATGCTCACTGCTGCCTGCTACTCATACTCACTGCTGTCTGCTACTCATACTCGCTGCTGCCTGCTACTCATACTCACTGCTGCCTGCTACTCATACTCACTGCTGCCTGCTACTCATACTCACTGCTGCCTGCTACTCATACTCACTGCTGCCTGCTACTCATACTCACTGCTGCCTGCTACTCATACTCACTGCTGCCTGCTACTCATACTCACTGCTGCCTGCTACTCATACTCACTGCTGCCTGCTACTCATACTCACTGCTGCCTGCTACTCATACTCACTGCTGCCTGCTACTCATACTCACTGCTGCCAGACTCTGGGCTACAGGCTCGGCCGCGTTGTCACCCCGCAGGTGGCCGAGGCGGCGAGGGAACAACTCCGGCGACACGCCGCCGTCCTGCGCCTCCTCCTCCTCCTCGCGGTGCACCTAGCCTGGCACTGAGCCACGATGGGGACGAATCCCGAGAGCGCGGATCTCCCTCCGGCCACCGACACAGCAGGTTCACAAGTTCGGCAGCCAACACAGCGTCTTGTCACTGCGTCTTGTCACACAAAGACCCCCCCCCCCCCCCCCCGTGTACACTTAGCAGACTGTAGGGGCAAGTGCTGTTAGCGAGCAGACACGTGTGAAGGCTACCGGCACTGTGGCACACGAGGGGTGGGTGGACAGCACCACGCCCGGCCGCCTTTGTCTCCCCAGTGGCGATGTTTTTACGCATAGCACCAGGTACTCATTTGAGGCTGAGTCAACCTAGGGGAGGGCCCAGAACCGGTTCAGATAATCGTCACTGTGGTGTTGGTCGTGAGCGGGAATCGAACCCGGGTAGCCAGGTTCGTAACACTACAGACACAGACACACACATAGACACACAGAGAGAGACACACACAGAGACACGCGCACAGAGACACACAGAGACACACGCACAGACACACGCACAGAGACACACACAGAGACACACACACAGAGACACACAGAGAGACACACACAGACACACACAGAGACACACAGAGACACACACAGAGAGAGAGAGACACACACACACGCACAGACACAGACACACACACAGACGCGTACGCGTGTGCCGCCACTGTTTAGTGGGGGCCTGCGTCTTCATGGCCCGTGTACACAATCGAGTGCAGTGCAGTAGTTTGTTGGGACAAGCAATACGCGTGGCCCGAATAGTGCGTTGTGTCAAACAACTCTTGCAGTGCAGTACTGCATTGTTCACCGCATCACGTCTACGTTACACGGCCACACACACACACTGCGTTTCTCGACGCTGTCGTTGTGTGCAGCCTACGACTGGGATGGATTGTCAATATCAGCTGTTGTTATCGATGAGTGCAGAAAGATAAACAACGCCAGTGTGACTTGATAACTTTGGCCGGTGGCTTCAGTGCACTCGCATCGCAGTGTGCGGACATCGTCTTGACCAAGCCTGTAGCCATGGAGTCAACATTGGGGGGGGAACCTAATATTCCAGGGGGTCTGGCCCCCCCCCCCCCCCCAGAAAAAAAAAATCTAAATTTGAAAACTAATTTCCAGCCTAAAATATAAAAAAATTCAATAACACATAGGATGGACTTTTTATTTATTTTTACAATAATGTCTAATAGTGTATTGTATTACATGGCTCTGTTTTTTACATTTTCTTGTTGCATTGTATGTAATGGCAGAGATTAGGAATTAATAAAGTACAACCATAATCACAATCATATAAACAGAAATCTATTTTATAGCAATATATTGGGGGGGGACATTTTGAGCATATTTGAATATTGGGGTAGATGTGTCCCCCCCCCAATATTTATTATAATTACGGCCTTGGTCTTGACACTGGCCTCACGCATATACCGACGACACACACACGGTACACCCATACCCAGCACTTTGTGTGTGTGCACACTTCATGCTGTACACCATCGGATTGAAGCTTTGTACAAGCGCGGCCATCATAGCCCTCCCTGCACACCGCAGCAGTGCCAACAGCGTCTCTTGTAGCGACTAAAAGTATATCTTACGACTCGGCATTACATACACATGGGCATTTAAACTGCACTGTGTTTGGTGTCACATGCACACCCAGGTCACCACTATAAAATGAGACCCATTATCTAAACGGGTCTCTCTATCTATCTCTGCCAAAGGAAATGCAAAGTCGAGAGATGTTTTTCTGTTCCCCATTTTCCACGTCCCGAGTCGCGTCTGTCGTGATCCAAGCCCAGCAGATGCACAGACCGCACCCCCCCTCGGGTGCTGCATTGCAGTCGGGCCTGTGTCGACTTGCACGCAGAGCCAGCAGACGCCACGAAATAAATAGACTGTGGCTGACCCCACCCCACATCCCCCATCTTCCCAGCCATGGGTTATTATTGTTTGCAGTTGTAAACTTGCGGACACGCCCGTACCGGGACACCCCTGGAACAAAATAGCTTAGTAGCTCATCGGATTCCACCTACAGTCTAAAGAATGATTCGGATTGAACTCAAAACAAACCATGGCTTGATCCATATTCTACCAGACAAAAAAAAACCCCCAAAAACCTTAACCTATTCGTCAATAACACTACCTAAAAAAATATGTACTGTATATAAAAGGCGACGTTTTGGGTGATGGCCCTTCTTGTTTTTGTGTTAGGCCGTAGATAATTTGTTTTTTGTGAAACGTGATATTAGGAGGCAAAGGCATCCACTCACCCACCAGCTTTCCTCGCCAAAAATGCGTTGAACAGATTTTGTACCGGTTCATATAAATGTTCAAAAAACAGTGTGAGATGTGCAGTCGTGCAATGAAAGCAACACGAAGAGAGATGCTTTTTAGGTTTAATGTCACTCAGGAGCCAAAGGAACCTCCTCCATATGAAGTAATCTTTCTTGTAAAAGTCGTTTTAAAAATGGGAAAAAAATGCTGCCTTTCAATCGTTCACGTCACTGCCGGCGGAATTACCTCCACTAAAGGAAGCTCTAGAAGGTACGGTATTTGGCCTACTTTTTCCACGTGGGCCAAATGTATTGGAAAAGGTAACAGTACCCACGCTTAACCCCACTGCACACGATCTGCCAATTGAACGTGATGCATGAGAGGAATGTATAGGTAGCATTAGTAGTTGTGCAGCGGTTCACTTACCACCTTGACTGCCGCGGTGGCGAGATGTTAGCTACCTCGCCTGGTGTACAGGAGGTTGTGGGTTCGAACCCAACCCTGACGCCTGCTGTATATTTGGAGTTGGCACCTTTGCCCCGTGGTCGCTTGGATTTTTCTCTGGGTCCTCCGGTTTTTCCCTCCACGTTTAGAAACATGCATTTAGAGTATTTGGCTGATTTAAATTTCCACACGATGATAAGCCGCTTCGTTGAGATATCTTTTGTGGCCAGGTAGCTTCTGAAAACGAGCTATGTCACTCAGTGGGCCTTACCTGTTAAAATAATGTAAAAAAAGTGTAGTTTTAGGTTTAAATTTAGGGTCACCAATTCATTTCAGAATGAATTGTTTTTAAACGTTACCATCACATTCGTTTATTTTTGAGTGTTCAACCTTTAGTTGGTTATCAAACAAAGCGCTTGAGTAATTATTGTAGAGTCTAGCAAGGGCTCATTATGATCAGAAAAATCCAGGATCAAAGTATTTTGTTATTCAGTTTGACCTATGTGTTACATATAATCTTGAACCTCGCTCAAACTGCTGACCAAAATTGAGAAAATGCAGGGGTAGAGGAGTGGCCAATGGGAGAGGGGCAGGGCCAGTTGGGGAGTGGGTAGAGGTGATGGGCAGAGAGGGCAGGGCCAATTTCTAGGTGAGTGACATCTTGTGAGTTGCATGTGACGAATGAAGTTCCCATGCATAGGATAGGGCTACCCTCTAGTACTGTAGAGGCGGTCACGACACAACGTACCGGAGAGTGCTGTGGAGTAATCAAATGAGTGGACGATGATTTGGAAATAATTCTCCGTCGGATATCTAATTGCATGCATGACTAGGGACCACGTAGCAGCTGGTGCAACTATCCCGACCCTGATGCTGTATATTTGGGGTTTGCGTGTCTCTCTGTCTGTGGTGGTGTGAATTTTTCTCCAGGTTCTCCTCCGGTTTTTCCCTCCACATTTAGCATGTCCACGTGATAAGCCACTTTGTTGAGCTATCATTTGTGGCTAGGTCACTTCTGAAAAAGCTTCGTAGCTCAGTGGGCCTTACCTGGTAAGATAAAACATAGTTTATAGTTTCATGGCATACATCTCAAATTGTTCTGCGGAAGAAGCTCTCTTGCTTGTGCTCCTTGTTTCGCTTGATGCATTACAGCTACGTGCTTTGTGACTCGCCGAATTCTAGGTGGCACACGGATTCAATGTTCTGCAAAAGGTGGACCTCATTTCCAGGGCTCGGTTGACACTTTGCGCTGTGTGGTCGATGCCGTCTGTAGTGGCCACTCCTCAGGGAGAACTTGAGCGGCCCACGATGGAGGGCCTGCTCCAGCGAGCCAACGAGCAAGATGCACATGCCCAAATAGAGGTGAGCTTGGGGTTGGAAGGGACTTCACTGCATCATGGGGCACCGAGGTGGCGAGACGTTAACTAGCTCACCTGGTGTGCAGGAGGCCGTGGGTCTGATCTCGACCCTGACGCCTGCTGTATATTTGTAGTTTGTGTGTTTCTCTCTCTGTCTCCCCGTGGTCACGTGGATTTTTCACGGGGTCCTCCGGTTTTTCCCTCCACATTGAGAAACATGCGTTTCTAGTATTTGACTGCTATAAATTTCCATGTGATAAGCCACTTCTTTTGGCTAGCATTTGTACCTATGTTGCTTCTGAATTAGAGCTATATACCCCAGTGGGCGTTACCTGGTGAAATAAAAAACGTAAGTAGTTTAGTTTCAAAACAGTTATTGTACATATTTTGATCTATTGATCGTCATTATGAAATCAAGTTTTCTTACAAATCATGCTCACATTCAGAAGGGCGTAACGCCAAGTAATTGAACGCCGCACGAAGATGGCATCCAGGGACTTCCGTTGCTGGGATTGGTTGGCCGCGTCGCAGCCATCCGGTCAGCCAGGTGGTCACGGTGCACGCACGATGGGGGTGGAGTCACAGCGGCTCTCACCTGTGTGTGACGACGCTCAGCAAGGGGTCGGTTTGTCTTCATTTTGTTGGCCAGCCACCGTTTTTTCCCACTGGGTGGCACGGTTTTCCATTGAACTTCATCCAACCGACTCACAAGAAAGAACAGCCTAAGTGCGCGCGCACGCGCCTAACGCCCACTCGCGCGCGTTTCCAAACTCGCACAAACTTAGAAGGTTGCCTCGGCCACCACCGAGGCTGTTTGGGACTGCCTTCTGGATACGGATGAATGTCCCCCACTATAGTAGCTCAGATTTCACACTTGGGATGTTATCCTGGCCTTGGTTATGCTTTTGGGTTCTGGAGATCGGTGTGGAGCCCTTAGGCCCCATCACTCCCCTCAAACCCAATCTCCAGAGAGCTCCACCTTTATCACGAAAGTGACCTCTTGCACCACCTCCACCGTCCACCAGATGGGGCACCCCACGTCACCTCGCCACAATTGAGCACTTTGCCAGATGTATGTATGTTGAACTTCTTTCGCACTGTACGTAGCCAACTGTGCTAATCGGAGGTGCGGGGGAAGGACAACGAACTAAATCCAAAAAGCAGTTCTAAAGCAATGAGTTTTCAATCTGGATTTAAAAGTGCACAGCTCCAGTAGCTTCCTAATATCGGAAGGAAGACCGTTCCAAACGGCTGATGACTCGCCAAACGCCGCTGCGAAGATGACCGGAGTTCCCGTGATGATGGTTTATACTCCTTGACGAGATCAGCAAAGTATAGTGGTTCATTTGCGGCAAGCATTTTATGTGTAATCAGTGCGACCTTATCATGTATTTGTTCGGCAACCGGAGGCCAATGTAGCTCAGCGAGCACACGGATGGACACAGTCGGATCTTGCAGCGCCCATCACGACACGTGCCAATAACTCAACACCATCCAGGACTACAGTTCACCAACGCTTCACTCACCCGCCCCCACAGACGGAAGGGTTCCGCTTCAACACGTTTGGCAGCACACAGTCGCACCACTTCCTTCTTGCCACAGGGGCCAGCTCATGGCTGTCCGCCTGATGATGCTAGTTGTAATTACTGGCGACACGTGAAACTCCAATTGTAAATGTTGTGGGTTTACTCTCCAACACACCCGTGTGCTGAACCAGTAACTAATTGAGATGTTTTGTTTACGTGACAAACCTTACCAATTTTCTTTGTCGGATGGTGGCAGGTTTAATGACATATATTCACGCGATCTAACCCAAAAGCTTCTTGTGCAAAATAGTGGTCGCGAAAGCCTCCAGTGTGTTAAAGCTCCTCCTGCTCCTTGTGTTGAACCCCGCCCTGCTTCTGCTCTTGACCCTACTCCGATCTTAACCCTGATCCTGACAGCCACAAATCGACACAGGGATTCCCTATCACTTCAAGGACCCTGGCTTACAGCCTATTAAACTGCACTATATCAATATGCACGGTGACCGTTGAGCCGAATCTGCCCAGCTTCAATCCCCCACTGCTCCGTTTCTCCACTGCCGGGAGTTGTTGGAGTCTCCAGGTCCTGTGCTTGCTCTGAGCTCTCTTTTTCAACACAGCCCAGAGCCATCTCTAGTGTTTGAACAGCATGCCAAGCTGACCAGTAGTGAGGAAGCAGTCAATCCCCTGCTCGGGAGACGAGTCATTCCCCATCCACACGTGCAATTCCAATGAGTGATACTGGGAGGGGCTGGGTTTGGAGGGTGGGGCTGAGTGGGGAGGGGCTGGGTGGGGAGGGGCTGGGTGGGGAGGGGCTGGGTGGGGAGGGTGGTGCTAGGTGGGGGCTGGGTGGGGAGAGGCTGGGTGGGGAAGGACTGGTCACCCCGTGGTGCCCTTATAAAACTCAACGTTTAACCTACTCACGCCGGCTTGTGCCCGCCCTCACAGTCGAGCATATTTGCGGAACACACCACGCCGCCGTTGACCTTGGCCATTGACCGAGCAACCCAACGTTCCTACCAGCTCCCTCCGCAGGAATGTGTTACTGTCGGCCGTCGCATTGTTTGCACTCTTCCTCTGACATCGACCGTGAACCTCGCGATGTTCACCCCAGGTGGCCAAGCACTACTTGAAGAAGGCGGTGGAGTCGGGCAACGAGGATCACAACAGGACTGCCGTCGGGTGGCTGATCAAGGCGGCCACCGAGGGGAAAAAGGATGCCGCCAACTTGCTCCAGCAGTGCGTGCGGCTCAACAAAGGTGGCCACGCGTCGCGTCACGAGCGAACCCCCATTGGCGTTTCTCCTCCCACGTGGAGAAGACACACACACATTGAATAATGAGTTTGATTTAAAGCTTTCGTGACTGCAGGGATTCATATTCTTGGTTATTTCGATAAAGTCACGTAGAAGGGAAAAACAATAAAATAATATTTTTACAGCCACATACACACAAACATTATATGGCTACAGAGGGAGAGATACATCATTTAATCATATTCTTGGTTATTTTGGTAAAGTCACGTAGAAGGGGGTAGTGGTGTAGCGGTTAGCCCGCTGTGCTACGAAGCTGGCGACCCGAGTTCGATTCCCGCTCATGGCCAACACCAGTGACGATTATCTGAACCGTTCCTCGGCCTCCCCTAGGTCAACTCGGCCTGAAATGAGGACCTGGTGCAGTGTGTAAACATCGCCACTCGGGACACAGACAGTCAGGCGTGGTGCTGGCCACCCACCCCCTCGTGTGCCGTGCCGGCCTTTATAGGTGCTCGCTAACAGAACTTGCCCCTACAGTCTGTTAAGGCTATACGGGGATCTTTGTCTTGTACGTTAAACGTCTTTTGCACCATACGTAGCCAACCGAGATAATCGGAGGTGCAGTTTAAGAGTTACTGAGGCAAATATGAAAGCAACCTTATTTGAAGTTACATTTGTTAACTGCCAATTTTAATATTGCCCAACCTGATTCCTCTTCATAAGTGTCACCCCGAAGAGGCACCGTGTGGAATTTAGATTTTTGTAAAAAATGTAAGTTGTTTTCTCTCACACGATCGGTGATTTAGCGGTATAAAGCAAATCATGCGTCCTATCTGGAACCTCCTACAGCAGATAAGCCACATGGATGTATGTTGAACTTCTTTCGCACTGTACGTAGCAAACCATGCTAATTGGAGGTGCGGGAATGGCCAACGTGCAGCGGGCACGGTGTTACACCGTGTGACAGTTCACTAGCGGGGAAGGGGGAGCTATTACATCATCGCTAGAATGTGAATTGTTCGGTCTTACCGAAGAGTAACAATCTCATCCTGTGCTTGTAACCCTAACACGCCCATAGGGTTGGGCCCTGATTAAGAAATCACAATTTGACGGCCCATGTGTTCCACAAAGTGAAACAACACCAAGTTGTGTATTCTATATATGTATCAGAAATACGAAAAAAAACATTCAAAATGTTGTCTAGCCCGACTGAGAGGTTTGTTTTGCCTCTTTAGTCACTAAATACAAAGAATAGCCTTGAAGTGTCCAGTGTGTTGACCACTGCATTGTGCTCTTTCAGGGGCCGTCTGGAATGCTCTTCCTTCCGATATTAGGAAACCACTGGAGCTGTGCACTTTTTAACTAATTTCTTGAGAACTACTTTTCGTGTTTAGTTTGTTGTCCTTTCCCCGCACCTCCAATTTAGCACGGTTTGCTACGTACGGTGCGAAATAAGTTCTACGTACGTACGTACGCAGTTCCAAGTGATGGCATGAGATGAGGCGAGGCGAGGCGCTTGTGAGTTGCGCGGCTCACCTGTGTCCCTCCAGGTGAGTGCACATGTACTGCGTGTGCGCCATGCTGCTCTGCTGCCCGCACGTGGCCACGTAGGCCTCGAGTGGCACGGCGCTGGAGATACTCGTCCACCCGGACACTCAGAGTCACGACCCCCCCACCCCTCCCCCCTCCCCCTTGTGAGTGTCGTCCAGTGGGGTCGGTGCTCTCGGCTGGACTGACACATCTCCGTCACATTATCTCCTGATTTACTCGCTGTTCATTCTTGTTCATTTCTGCAGTCGCCAACCTCGTTCACTCCTACTTTGGGAATCGGTCCCTGCTTTTATGTGAAGGCCTGACCACTGTTACAGAGTTTGGAGACGCAGTTGTGGCAATGACGCCGTATAGATTTTAACAATTATTGTAATTATTATATTGCGAGTAAAATGCTCCTCGCAAAAATTGCTCAAACGAAAACGTTATCTATTCGTCAACCAAACATTTACCCGCTCCACGTTTTGCCATTACCGTTGAGTGTGACGTTACACTGATGGTTATGAGGACGAGGCGGTTGGTATATGATCTAAATGTTAATTTCTCTCGGAGCCTTAAGACGTCTGAATGCTTCAACGTCAAATGTGGCTGTAATTGCACCTAACGACGAATGGTGTTCTGTCTATTGTGCATGTCTCCCTGGGGTGAACTTTTTTTCTCCTCACATTAATACAACGTGACAAGTCTGCTGTGGCCATTGCCAGTGATGGGATTTAGCGGAATTAATGCGTAAAAGAAACGGGCGGCTTTAAACCCATTAGTGGACTATGGCGGCAGAGATTGCATTGGTTACAGTGTATACCAGAGGCGATTGAGAAGTTGTTTGTGATAAGTGCTAAACAAAGTAATGAACGGATGCGGTGAACCGTTATACATGGAGCTAACTCATGCACACCCAGTTGTGTGAAAGTATATACACGTGCAATAAATGGACATAAATGTTTTTGTTCAGTGATGCCAAAAGATATTTTTTAGAGAAAAATCATTTTATCTGCACTTCCATTGAGAAGCTCACCAAAACCGTCACGGTGATCGTGATGAGCAGCACAATTAAGGCATTTGTGCTTAGTAACTTAACCATGTACATGATGAGCAGAGCACACCTCTGCCAGAATATATCAACAGTTATACCGTGTCCCTTGTCACTATTTACCAGGTGCCGCCAAACACCAAATCCACACACATTGTGCATGACGCACACTCGGTTCAAGTCCTCATTTTAGTGTCTTTCTGAAATCGCACAAAAGCTGCCGGTGCTTCGGCCCCTTTGTGCGATACTTGTTAGGCCAACAGCGCCGTTCTTAAGCCTGCGGCGTGTGTGTCTGTGTTTAATGAATTACGTGTTAATTATATAGCGGTTATATTGACGAGCAGAATGGCAGCTGCTGTGGCAGAGGCATGATGGGTTATTGTCCTCGTGAGGGAGCGGAGGAGCCGTTTGTTCTGATTGCCCCTAAACGGAGCACGCTTAACCCTCGGCGAGCACACTCTGTATGCCTCTATGAGCTCCGCGGGACATCGCGTAAATCAGCGCACGCCTCCCCGTTGAATACTTCAGTAAAAAAAAATAGCTTGCCCACATGTGGTATGTGAAGGGGCAGAGGCAGGATTTATAAATGCTGGGGGGCACAGGGCAGATCAAGATTATTTACGTGTGATAATATGCGACTGCCTGCATTAATTAATCTGCGTGTTTGTGTACACACACACTGAATGTAAAGTAGTGGGTAGCGGAAATGTAATGCCTAGCGCAGAGCACTAAAATCCTGGCAACCTGGGCAGAATTGCTGGTATTGCCCTAAGTGTTTATTTCATCATCAATAACCACGGTATTGTGATATCGTGACGCAGATTTCAGTTTTTGGCCCTTGCAATTGAGCCGATCTCTCTGCTCTCTTGCTAGTTCGACAACTCCGTGTGATGCACTCCTGAAACCGGAGACTCGCGTTTGATCGCTGCAAAGATCGACAGTCCCGCTCCTTCCGCTTACACTGTTAACACTGCCTCACCGAAGCCAACACTGCCTCACCGAGGCCAACGATGTCACTATTTATCTCTCTCGATTCCCTCTCCAGTTCAGCAAGGTTTGGTTCTTCAGATAGAGCACGTGCTTTGTATGTGTCGTTGATTGAATACGATAGCAGTCTGGAAAACGAGAAAAGAACAACAAAAATGAGTGAGAATAAATAATCGGAGAGCAATATACGTAATTGAGGACATTGTGGCAAGCGGTTGGAGCACGACAGCAGTGAAAAGGAGGTTGATGATTGGCAATTCACAGATGGTCGGCTTCATGCAGAGATATGTAATTCGTATCTCATGACAGAGATAGACTTTTACAATTAGTGGAGGAATGTTATGCAGATCTCTGTAGCAAAAGCAATCGTATCCCTGGATTCACACTGTTATCAGACAAAGAAGAAAAATGACCAGATATTGTAATTGAAAAAGTAAGCACTGCCCATCTCGGTATGAAAAAAGGGAAAGATCCTGGACCAGATGCTCCGAATAAGCATCGTCAAGTAAGTGGGACCAGTTGTTGGAACATCATAAACAACCCTATTTACTACATTTTTACACAGAAATTAAATATGAGAATTGTGGAATAATTCCTCATTAATTATTCGATACATATAGGGATGCTGAAACTGACCTGAATTAGAGACCATTATTCTCTTAATTACACACACATATATATACAATTTTTTAATAAATTATTGGAACCGGAATAATGGATAAATTAGAGGCCAACCAACCACGTGCGGAAGACGATTATAATTAGAATATATTTCTACCAGCAACCACGCAGCATAGTATCAATCTTATTCTGGAAGGAACTCGTGAATATCAATTATCATAACGCCGAGCGTTCGTAGACTATGAGAAGGCATTTGACCCACGGTGAAAATTGATGCAGTCGGTCTGGTACAAAACAAATCGTTATTCTATCCTTAGCTACAAACAAGCCAATCGGGATGTAGTTGTGGAAATGCTAACGGAAATGCGCCATCATGTTTACTTCCCGTGCTATTTTATCGCGATGATCCGTGGAGTTTAAACCCACTCTCTCTCTAGATTTGAAGCTTTCGTGACTGCAAGGATTCATATTCTTAGATTTTTTCGGTAAAGTCACGTAGGTAAAACATTAAAATTAATAAAAGTAAAATAAAATAAAAATCACGACGTTTCGGAGGCAACACAAGCTTCCGTCTTCAGGTGGAACCGTCACAGCCCGACAGCTGTATCAAGTAAATGAGAGATTACAGGAGATACCACTCCGTATATATAAGTGGAGTGGTATCTCCTGTAATCTCTCATTTACTTGATACAGCTGTCGTGGCTGTGACGGTTCCACCTGAAGACGGAAGCTTGTGTTGCCTCCGAAAGTCGTGATTTTTATTTTATTTTACTTTTATTAATTTTAATTTTTTACCTACGTGACTTTACCGAAAAAACCTAAGAATACCACTCTCTCTCTCTCTTTCCGCTGTAGCCCTCTCGTCGTGGCTAGCAGACCTCTCGACGTTGGCATTTAGCTCCTGAAATATTGTTGCCACGCGCAAGAAGAGAATAGAAATGTCATTTATCCGCTTTGTCGCACGTGACAAATGATGTGATATGCTACCGAATTCATTGATTTCTTTTACAAAAATGGAATGTTATGAAATGTTAGGGCCAAGCATTTGCTAGTGTTCAACGTAAAGCAATTATGCCACATATGGAAAGGCTAAAAAAAAAAAAACACCGTCATTAAATTACATTTAATAATTGAATTTTTAAAGAAGTCGGTGTATCAATGCTGACCTTCATGGTTTCGGTGTAGCCACGTAATTTCTGGCATATGTTGGGAAGCCTGAGAGGGCTTAGAGAAGTGGAATCGTGAAATATATTCCTAATAAAGGCGAGCTTATGGGCTCAGACACCACAGGCCTCCTCTGAATGCAGTGCAGAGTCTAGTCCTTTCATCTCGAAAGCCATCCTACGTATGGCTGCATATAAAATTAGTCCTCATTATTCACTCGGTCTCCTATTGACCGATATGTCAACTAGAAAACGTCTCTCTCGTCTCCAAATACCCTTCGCTTGCCTATTTAATTTCATTTGCATACAGTCCATCTATCCCACTCCAAAAAAATATCACTGCCACCTCTCACCCTCGCATCGATCTAGATTCTACACATCAGGAGGTTGTCACTTATGGTCTGGCATGGCTTTCACAATGCCCTTTGTGTTTAGAATGTTGCGGTATATTTACATATAGTACGAATTTTAATGCTGTTGATAAGTGCATTCATTCATTCATCAGCAGGCATTCCACCCATACCCAAATATTTTGTGATAAACGGGCATTCCCAAAGAAAACGGTTCAGTTTTCAAACCAATGGTGTTTTCTCTCGCCTGTATCGCTTCGATGTGCCGTGATTGATGGGGGGACGGGAGGGTGGCATATGCCCTTCATGAACGCAGATGATGCGAAATGAGGTAAACGGCGTGTTCCTGTTTGCGGGTGTCACGCGGCGGTGGCGTTGCAGGCGCCGCGGTCACATGAAGAATGGTGGCTCACCGTTAGAGTGGCGCTAGCGTTTGCGCTTTAATGAAGCCGGCTTCAATCAAGGCGCGCGTGTGCGCGCGCGCGCGCGTGTGATATTTAAACCGGTTTTAATTGATATTTAACCTTTAGCCTCAGATTTTTTTTTCATCTCGTTAATGGACACGTGATATAATCGAGAATAATTGGAAGGTAAAATGTGAATAGCGTTGTTTCTAATGGAATATGGAGGAAATGTGCAAAAGGTTTTGTGCTCCCGGGTGTCCTTGTGCAGAGCGAGGTTTTTTATGGGTCGCTCTGACAGCAGTCACGATGTCACATCATTGGACCTTCTAGAAATGACAACATAAGCCACGGCCTTTCACCCTTCAAGAATATATATTATCTCAATCTCTGACGTGTAAAAAGCTCTTTGTGCAGCTCCGCAAACTAATGAGCAATATTAAATGTATCCTTCTACCCGGTAAGCCATCGGAGGGAAGAGACCAATATAAATATCAATATAAATTTAATTGGGCTTCTTTCGTACCTTCGTGATGGCACATTTCTGTGGCCCGGTGCCTTGAACGGTGGGACTTGGTGGATCATCCAGAGATGAGATGCCTGGGAAGGGTCAATACAGTAGGTGTTTGCACAGAGGATCCACAATTTTGGCATTATGCCCTCATTTTGGGTGCCACGGTTGTGGGTTCGATCCCAACCCTGACGCCTGTATATTTGGAGTCTGCATGGTCTCTCTCTCTCCCTGTGGTCGCGTGGATTTTTCTCCAGGTCCTTCGGTTTTTTCCTCCACATTTAGAATCGACACGCGTTTAGAATATATATGGCTGCAGTAAATTTCCACACGATAAGCCACTTCATTGAGCTATCATTTGTGGCCAGGTTGCTTCTGAAAAAAGCTGCATATCTCAGTAGGCCTTACCTGGTACATAAAAAATAGTTATTTTTTTATTTTAGATTTGCATTTCACAACATTTTATGGTATCATAACTTTAAAGGGACATTTTTACGCCTCCATTTTTTTCTTCTTCCTCGTATTGTACGTCCAACGACGTTTTCGTCCACGTGTGCCGCCGCAGGCATTTGCGCGGAGAACGCGGAAAAGGCGCGCAAGCTGGCGCAGGAGACGGACTTCGAGCGCTCGCTGCGCAAGGCCGCGCGCCGCATGGCCGCCTCGCTCAACCCCAGGAGGAGGCCCCAGCGCAGCGCGGCCGCCACCGTCGCCGCCGCCGCTCCGCCTGCCGACTCGCCCAGCACGAGCGAGCCCGCCGACTCGCACGCCGGTGAGCACCCACGCGGCCTCGCGGCCTTAAACCGCCCGGCGGCTTCACCGGCTGCGCGCGGGCGTCGTCTCCGTCCGTTGCCTTGTACACCGTACCGTCGACCACTGCTCTTGGGGTAAAAAAAAGAAGCAAATATTAGGTTCTGGAAGCTCGTGCTGGATTCTGGATTTGCATCCGTTTCTGATCATTAATCGATGTTCTCCGCTGCTAACTTTCACCAGCCTCATTTGGAAACAAAAAAAATTGGAAACAAATGAGGCTGGCTGTGAAGATCAGTGGGGAGGGGGTGAGCGGTAGGAGGCGAGAATCGAGCGGGAGGTAAGAGTACGGGGCTCAAATGAGACGATGAGAAGACGGGGGGGGGGGGGGGGGGCACAGGGTGTGAGCTCGAGGAGGAGGGTGCAGGGAATTGGCGAGGGATACGGCGGCGGAGGGCTGATTGCTTCGTGAGCTCAGAGTGGGTGGGGAAATGGGCTGGTACGTTATCCCCAAAACGCTGGCCGCGTCGCACAACTGCAAATGAACAAAGAAGCGAGTGCAAGTGCGCTGTTGATCACATGGACACGTTAGAATCGGAATCTTTTATTCTTTGACTGGGGGAGGAATCTGATGAGCTATGAAGCTCTTTGTTTCCCACAGATGTCCATTGTGGGCGGGTCAGCGAGTTACAACAACAAACACAATGCAGTACAAAGAACACAATCGGAGTGCAAATTTGAGAAAACGGTAAGCAAGTCACGAAATATAAGTGAATAAACAAATAATTATTTTTATAAGTCAGATACATTAAGCTTGGGCAAGGCCGCAAAAACCACAACAAAACAGTCCCAGACCGCACAATGAAAACACCCACGCAGCAGTAGTCCCTTAATAAAGTGGCACATCAGCATTGACCTATCGATACACAGGTAGCTGAAGCGCAGTCCGTCGCACGCGTGCTTGCCACCTTGACACTGCGCACGCACTCCGCGCCGTTGTTGGGTTCTGACAGAAATTGCCGCGTTCACACACCAACTCGTAATGTTGCTTACGGTGCATCGTATCCAGTAGCCCTGGGGCTTCCCCCGTTCCGCAGTATTGCGGATCGCAGGGATATTTTTGCGCGCGAGCGTCGGGGCCCGTACGGTGGGTGATGTCGCGCACGGACGGCATCTTCCCCGCCGCAGAAGCCCGCTGGCTATAGAAGGGAAGCTCTAAACGCTCTACTGGCAGAGGTGCCCTGTGTCACGTGACCCCGTTACAATCGTCGCTTTTCTTTCTGCGCCAAGCCGTTAGGCCGAGGGGGGGGGGGGGGTGTCTGTCAACTCTTGAGGAAAGTTTGAAGATTCACCCCAGGGCACACTCGGCCACATGCCGAGCCACTTGCAATCACGCTCCGCTTGGCACACGTTGGGAAGATTCATCCGAAACTCCACCCAGTGCTTGAAGCCTCAGCAGTGTCGCCTGATATCAACCTTTGTTCTTCAGTGGGAGAGGGGCAATTACTTAGCCCGAGCAGTGGTAGAGTCTTGCATGTGAGTTTTGCTTTATGTGCTGGCGTGCCCCAAAAGCTTCTATATGTCACACCCCATGGGCATAGGGAATTCACTCTTAGCCCAATGGATTGCCAATTAGCACGGTTGGCTACGTACGTTGCGAAAGAAGTTCAACATACGTACATACATCGTACAGGGCTCCTGTTATTCGTGAATTTGCATCTCCTCCCTGTGAGCCATCATCTTTACCACTGGAAAATAAGGCGCATACAGTACGTCTAAATATCTCACCTTGTTGGGGGCCGTGGGGGTGGCCTTTTGCAGCAGCAGCAGATTGACGGTGGCTGTGCCGTCAGCCAGGTGGTGCTCATTTTAAAGACATCACGCCAATGTTGAGGCATCAGACCGTGTTCGTTTTCGAATTCACAGCTGTGCGTGCGTGTGGTCACAACCCCCCGGCGCGCTACCAACTGAGGTGTGGCCGAACGACATTTGTTCTGCGGGCGACGGCACGCCGCTCCCGGGTTACCCGCGGCAAACGCCTCACGCGCCCGCCGCTCGCAGAAGAGATCTTCAGCAGCGCCTGATGTTAGCGTTGTTGGAATACGCATATTTATAAAAGGTATAACAAGCGAATTGAGGATGACGCTTCGTATATACTGCGAATGAGATTTCATTGTTTTAAGGTCACAGAAGCAGGTTTGGTTCGCCACCAGCAACCGAGCAGTTGGCTGCCTGATCGCGCTGTGCACACACACACACCGTGGCCAACACGGGGGAATAATTCCGTGATTTGAATTCACGGGCGGTGACATTTTTAGCAAAACCACGGCGCGGCCAATTTACGACGTCAGCCCATTTGCACGCTGAGATTTATGCACGTGGGTCGGCGGAGGTATTAAGGCGTACCCGGTCTGTGTCCGCATTTTTAATTGCTTCGTCCATCCGATGCCTTAGATGTCCCCGAGGGAAACGGGGAGAAGCTTCGGCAGCATTTGGCACCCAGTGTCTGTGCCGCCGGCCGAAACGCACCGGTCTGCGCTTCTGGTGAGTGTAGTGCGAGGAGCAGGTGGCGGGAAGGAGGGGCATGCGCATTAACCCCACGGTCGCGAGATGTGAACCACCTCGCCGGTACGCAGGAGGTCGTGGGTTCGGTCTCGACCCTGATGTCTGCTGCATATTTGGAGTTTGCATTTTCTCCCCGCGGCCGCATGGTTTTTTCACCGGATTCTTCGGTTTTTCCCTCCACATTTATAATCTATATGCGCTTGGAGCGTTGGGCTGCTATGAATTTAAACGTGATAAGCCACTTCGTTGGGTTATCATTTGTGGTCAGGTTGCTTCCGAAAAAGAGCTATATAGCTCAGTGGGCCTTACTTGGTCAAACATATTTATAGTTATTTACAAAGTATACGCGTAAATTGGCACGAATGTTCTATTCCTGGCCACGGTAAAAACCCACCCATGGGAGAGAATGGGTAACGGGCCTCTGCAATATTTTGCGGAGACGAAAGTATGCATAAATCCGAGCCATTGCCGCTACCCTGAACCTAGACTTCTTACATAAACCATGATCACAGTCGAAACTGTGTCCTAAGCACCGTCCCTAATGCCAATGCTTACTCCACACGTAACCTTGGCCTTACCCCTAACACTGACTTTTGCTCCGACTCACTTCTATTCATTGCCTAACCCCAAACTAACCATAGCCCTTAGTCTTATATTCCAGTGAGTTGGAGGCAAGGTTGGTGGCTCATGCAGAGATGGAACCATGACGTGGTGATACCAGCCTCTGCAGCATTGAAGTGCCTGTCGGGAGCAGCGCAGCAAACGGGTTGCTGACATTTGATCGTGCTGTGTGCGAGTCTTCTCACGTACAAAGTGCTTTCTCTGGGTACTTGGGTTTCCGTTCCTTGTTGCTAGATACTCAAGAAACGAATTGGGCAAACGTCTCACGCAGTCGGCTCTCTGTTAACGGTGAAGCTCTCTTGGGCAAAGATTTTAAATGATTATATTTTAATACCGAACATTAGTCCCACCTACCCAAGTGCTAATCCTAACACTAACTATAGCCCTAAACTCCGGTCCTACGCTAAACCATGAAAAATACGACACGAGATTGCAGGACTGTCCATGCCAACATTCATTAACTTGACAATGAATGCCATCTTTGTCCGTGTAAAATAATAACTACGCAAATAACGTAACATGTATGTTCACCGGACAATTCACCGAATGCCACTGATGGTCATGTTTAACAATCTAAACTCTACAATGAGTTGATGGCATTGTGCCAACATTTATTGTGATTTATTTTATTTCCTAGAAAGCACGTAAGCTTGACTGATCAGATTAAATAGCAGCTGATCAAAAACTCAGTTCTGGCATTCGGAATATTTGCCAATATGTGTGGAAAGGAGCCCAAATGCCCGGAAAAACCCACACGTGTAGTGGGGATAACCCTCAAATGCCGCACATGTCAGAAACTTGCTTTTGCTTGCTGCAATATCTCCCAACAGGCACGACCTCACTGCCCATCAGGTGGGTACCTCACACCCCACGACTCCGTCTTTGTGTAATCCACCAACCCCACCTCCAAGCCATTGAATTCCAGTCGTGCATCACGCACCCGGAAGAGCAGCGTGTCGGTGCAACGCCTCAATGGCGTCGCCCGTAAAGTAGCGAGCGGCCGTATTCGGCGTGGAGATTTTACTTTCGTCGACAAATCTTGTCACTCAAATGCGCCGTCATCATTAAAACTCAACGTACGGTTAGACAATTATAAACGATGAGAAATAAATAAATATATTTTCTTACTATCTCCAGTGTATGTGTGTGTCATGGCCGCAGCTGCTGTGTTTGTTGGGTACACTTTGTAAATGTTCAGCTGGGGCGAAATTCAGCGCAACTGCGAGTTTAATGTGGCACCCACACCTCCCATCTATCACGCTGAGCTGCGTTTATTCCCTTAGATCGGCCTGCTTTGTGACACAAGTCAAAGCGTCACTAGCACTAAAAGAAATGTGTGGTTACAATGAGCCAAGCTGGGGGTCTTGAGCCACTGGCGAAGTTCCACTTTACTACGGCGTGAACTGCACTTTAATGAGAGCAACTTCTGCTAACATGCCTGGCGAAATCTCACCAGGAAAGCCAAAATCAGAATCTTTACTTACCCTGGATAAATCGGATGAGCTGTGAAGCTCTCTTTCACAGATGTCAGAAAGTTACAACAACAAACATTCTAAACACCGATAGGAGGAATGTTAAGCAAATCACAAAACAACAAATATAAAATAGATAAAGTATTTAAGTTAAAATTGCATAAGTTCACCAATTCGCCAAGCTTAGGCAAGGCAGCAAAACAACGACAACAACAACGAGTCCCAGACCACGCCAAAAGAACACAGTCCCTCAATTAAATTGCACATTCAACTTGCACTAGCGATACATGGGCAAGGATGAAAGTCACATTGGCAAATGCAGTTGTACCCAGCACTAATCTTCCGCTTCACGATATTTCTTGAAGCAAGGTTAGTGCTGGAGCAATGCTCGACTGAGTCGACCCTGGCTTCTCAAGCTCCCAGTCCCCAGTTTTTACCCTTCGTTGTGATGGACTCGTCGTGGATACATTCCAATGGTTCTGTACAATTCCAAATGTGCTCAGTGGTGCAATTTTAATCCGTGCCAACATTGAGTCTCGCATAACGTGGTCTGCATGCTGAATCTGAGTGGTGGCATGTTTTGGAAAAAGTCACCGTAGGATACGTCATGTTGAGCCACAGTCATTTAATATGATGTATGTATCTTCTTGGTTCTTTTGGTAAAGTCACGTAGAATGGAAATAACAAAATAAGAAAAATAAAACATAATAAAATAATATTTTTATTTTATTATCTTATTTTATTATATTTTGTTTTAATTTTATTATTTTATTATTTCCATTCTACGTGACTTTACCAAAAGAACCAAGAAGATGAATCCCTGCAGTCACGAAAGCTTTAAATCGAAATTTAATGATGTATGTATGTTAGACTTCTTTCGCACCGTACGTAACCAACCGTGCTAATCGGCTCCCAACCATGGTGCACTCATGGTTGGGAGCCGAGTTTGATCTCGGCCGTGATTGGCACGAGGCACCGAGGGGTAATGTCTCAGGTTGCCGCTCAGCCCAGGAACGGTCCAATTGTGTGCTACGATTATTTGTATGGCACGGAGTCCAGTGGGCTTAAGTCACCATGCCCCCCGCCCCCCTCCATACCCTGCATGACTATGGGTGAAAAGTACATGAAATTAAACAAGTTTTAAGATGGGTTTTTTTTACACAGGATTGGTTATTATCACTTCAGCAATTGTTTCTTGCTGTGGTTGTCCCACCTGATGACGGACGCTTGTGTTGCGCCCGAAACGTCGTGATTTATTATTTTATTTCTATTATTATTTCTATCATTTTTATTATTTATTTCTATTATTTATTTTTACCTACGTGACTTTACCGAAAAAAAATCTAAGAGTATGGTTATTATCAGTAAAAAAATAAAATTCCCAGCCATGTTTTAACACAAACACCAAACCCAATCCTGTGTAAAAACAAACATTCGTAAAACTTGTTTCATTACCGAGCCATGGCTATGGGTGAAAGTCAATCCTGCGTAAAAAAAAAATATCGAAGTCAGGCAAGCGACGCAAGGCCATCATCCCACCTCTGCGTGGACACTGTGATATCTCTTATCGACGGGCTCCGGATGCAAGCCTCAGGTGACACCAGCGCGGCGCGGCTTGAGGAGTGCGGTCGGTGTTTCGGGTGCCGGCCCTGCTGGCGAGGGCTGCCATGGGAACTGAACATCCGTGGGGGGAATTAAAAAAAGAGCTTTATAACTCATCGGATTTCTCCAGGATGAATAGAGACTCTGTTTTCTGAAAGCGGCAGGCCCAGCTGGCCCAGCCCGCGTCTGGTACCAAGGCAGCACGGCCCCCCCCACCCCGGCGGTTGTGGACACGTGACGTGGAGGTGTTTTACGCAACAGCTCACAGGCCTCATTAGAGCCCAAGGGTCTAATTTTCTTGTTTAAAAGGCAGCATTGTAAATCCTCCCGTGTTAAAACGCCACGGGATGTTAAATGCACCTGATTTAGCATTCACGAGTGGTTCCCCTGTAGAGGAAGTGAACATTTCCATCGTGACATGCATGTACGTATGTTGTAGTTCCTTTGCAACCGTACGTAGCCAGCCGTGCTAATCGGAGGTGATCTCCGGTTCGTATTCGACAGACTGCTCGCACAGCAGCCACCAGACTACATTCCCACACTGTTTTCCATGTCCCATCAAGCATGAAAACTGTATCACTGTCTATTGAGATTTAGCCTCAGACGCCAGGATGATCATCTGTAATATATATTTGATTTATATATATATTTAAGTACATTAATGACCAATATCCGTAATATTTTTTTTGGGATTAGATCACGTAAATGTATTTACACGATCTAACCCAAAAATAAAAATAAAAACTATATTACGAAGAAATGTGATTGTTAAAAACAACATTGCTTATTGTTCACAGTTACATTTATGAGGTGTTTTTTGGGCCACTTCTTGGTGACCTGACTGAGCTCATCGTTTTCTCACTGCACGCGAGTTCCTGATTTGGTGTCACCGTTTCGCTGACAATGCAGAAAGGATCTGGCAGCCGTCTGAGCCATCTGAGCCACCTGAACAACACCATCCTTTTACCAATTAACCAGATCGTAACAAAAAACAAAGACTTGCCTTGTCCTTGAATTAAAGCATTCATTGAAGTTCAATAGATTGAGGTTACACTGATGGCTGTAAAAGTGTTGAGTGAAATCGCATGCCTTTCAAAAATGTGTCTTGAAAAGTCGAAGGTGTGCACCGTTTCAGCATCTGGATGTATGTTTAACTTCTTTCGCACCGTACGGAGCCAACCGTGCTAATCGGATGTGCGGGGGATGGACAACAAACGAAACACAAAAAGCAGTTCTAAAGAAATGCGTTTTCAACGTAGATAGTTTAAAAGCGCATCGCTCCAGTGGCTTCCTAATATCAGAAGTAAGAGCGTTCCAGACGGCTGCAGAATTGCATCTGAAAGCGCCGCGGGATGCAGTGACCGTCTTTGTTCGATGCTTAGCCAAAAGCCGCCACTGTGAGTATGACCGGAGTTCACGTGATGATGGCTTATGCTCCGTGACGAGAGTAGAGTTGTGTGCCCAGATCCCCAGAGCCTTCGCCAGGTGTTCTGATGCTCGGTGCTCGCACAGCTGTCTTTGTGATTCCATCTTTAGTAAAATCAAATATTTCTGGTGCTGCTGAAAGACTTAATTCTACTGTGAGCTGCTGCTGAGGTCATCTTCCTGAGGGTGCCACGGTGGCAAGATGTTAACTACCTCTCATGGTATACAGGAGGTCGTGGGTTTGATCCCCTGACCCTGATGCCTGTATATTTGAAGTTTGCGTGTTTCTCTTTCCCCGAGGCCGTATGGATTGTTCTCCGGGTCCTCCTCCCTCCACATTTATAAACGCGCGTTCCGAGTATTTGGCTGAAATAAATGTCCACGCGATAAGCCACTTCGTTCAGCTATTATTTATGACCAGGTCGTTTTAGAAAAGTAACTAATAGTTCAGTGGGGCCTTACCTGGTGAAATAAAAAATAATTTAGTTTATAGTAACTTCCTTACTTTTTCTATACTTTGCACTCCTATCGTGTTTTTCTATCGTTTGTTGTTATAACTTTCTGACCTGCCCCTACTGGACATCAATAAAAAACAAACTTCATAGCTCACCGGATTTCTCCAGTATAAATGAAGAATCCGATTCTTTTGACCAAAACTAAGATAAACAATTTCGTTCACGTCGTTTGCGGTGCAGTTATTGAAGGCTCGGCTCCTGACGTCGTCAAACTTACCGGATGTTTGTGTTCACCGTCCCCTCTCTTGTTCCGAGCGCAACATCTCGATGGCTCGCAACCGTGGCGAAGTGAGCGGCGAGCGTTCACTCGCTCGCTTTGACCCCAGCAAAGGTCGCCTTTGGCGTCGTCGCCATCTATCTCGTGCAATTAACGACAGTGCTAGCCCTCGTTTCGTACTTGTTGAGCTTTGGATTGTTGCGTGCCAGCTTCTCATAAAGGTTCAAATTTATGATCTCGCTTGTAATGAGCGAATGTCAGCGGCTGAGGTGCCCTCTAATGAATTGAGAAGAGATTGATCGTCGGTCGTGGCTGAGTGAAAGCGTAAGTATACTCCGTCCGTGAGGGAGATAAGTGAACGTTTGATTGTTGTAACGTGAATAACATACGAAAGACCTTGGGAACTATTTGAGGGGATTACGCGAACGTGCGTATAAGGTGACCCGATTGAGAATGATGAAAATCTATATTTTTTTAATGCATAACCCTGACTGTTGAGTGAATGAACACCCTAATTTGTGAAAATGGGAGTGGGTGAGCGAGTTAATGGACACATTAGGTAATTACTTAATCAGGAAGATAATTAGCAATCGCCTTTTCGTCCCGACAGACGATGCTGGTGAAGTAACGGAAGAGAGGAAATTCGACAGGCAGCAGAAAATCCTGCGAAGATTCATGAGTTTCCAAGGTATCGACCTTCACCGGACACCTCGTACCAACAAAAGCTCTGTGCCGGCCCGATTCTGACTAGTGCTGTAAGCTGCATGGCCGCTGTGTAGCAGTTCCATTCTAGAATGTAACCCGTATCCCACATTCCCTCTGCCGATGACCGCATCGCTGGCAATGCGCACCTCCGATCTCAATCTGGGGGGACGAGCGTGGACAACGCTTGGATGGGTGGCCACCAAGCAGCACAGACCGGTTTGTCGTGGACGGCTGTGAGTCCGTGATGCATGGTGGGCACTAGGGGGGTGGTGCAGCAAAACCCATTGTTGTGCTGCACTGCTAAGCTCCTGCCTCTGTAATGCCCACCGTCGACGGGTCCGCACTAGCTGGCTGTGAAGTGGGTAAGGGCGTGCCGTGCGGTACTGGTTGGCCTGCACGTGCTGAAGGAGGAGGCTGTCACATGGCTCTGTGGTTACGTAGGCCGACATCCACGAACAGAACATTGACATTTTTATTTAATTATCTATTTTTCTTGTTTATTTGGTGCCCTAATTGTGTGAAAGTCATGTGTAAAAGCATTTTCTGAATATAAACTCCACTTTGACCCACACACGGCATGGGGAGGCCCACATCTAGCAGCAGATTGACCAAAGGACAGCACATGTGCGTATACCTTGTACCGAGGGCTGTTCATACGGAACAGATATTACTAACAGACGCGGCATATCCATAATGGGGGGAATTCACACGGCGTACGCATTTGTGGCTTTTCGATCAGACAAATATACATCGCGTGGCAAAGAATATCCCTTTTGACCGTCCAATGGCGACCGAGAGGGTGCATTTGTCTGACTCCTCCACCGGGGATGGTAGATTACACGCAACCGTAGCCAGCCAATCAACGTTCATCGTCTCCTGCACACGATGCCCTCTTACACGACGCTCATGTCGGGGGTGAAGCCCAATGTTTCCGGGACATTGACACGATTTTTGGACTGCGCGCAGGCATGGCAACGGGGACGAAAGATCTGTGCACGGACGACCTCCTGGACATGACCAAGGGCTACCTGAGCGGCGCTTACGCCCGGCCGCCCATTCCCCTGGTCGCTGCCGGGGTGGACGAGCCAGAGATGGACGGACCGCTGGACGGGTCCCAGCCGGCGCTGCTGCCCTCCAGGGACAAGGTTGGCGACGTGACGCGTTGTGCCGCCAGGCGAGGCTCCGCAGGAGCTCAGTCGGTGGTGGTGTTGCCCGTTGTGTGTGTGGGTGGCAGCGATGGCTAGCGCGCCGCACGATGGACCCGGCCGCCCTCGGTTCAATTCCCTGCTCGTGGCCAACATCGGTGGCGATTTATCTGAACCGCTCCTGGGTCTCCCCCCTACCCCCCCCACCCCCCATGTCGACTTGACGTTGTAAATGAATGCCTGGTCCGTGTGTAAACATCCAAACTGGGGAGACAAAAGGAAGCTGGGCGTAGGGCTGGCCACAACACCCCCTCATTCGCCATGCTGGCTTTCACTGGTGGCACTTACCCCAACAGCCTGCAGAGACTGTACAGGGGGATCGTCGTCTGTGTTTCTTCGTACGTTCTGTTATTGCCACGTTACCATGCCATCACTAAAGTGCGGCGAGTTGAGTATATGCTGTGAAGTTGTACATGCAAATTGAAGAATCTAGATTAATTTCAAATAAAGTCGATACTTTCTCTGAATTTTAAGAATCGGAATCTTAATTTGGACTGGAGGAATCCGATGAGCTATGAAGCTCTTTTTCGTTGGTACTGCATCCTCTTTCAACCGAGATTCTATCTTGTCGCTGTTCGGTTGAAATGTTGTTTTTATATTGCAATGATTGGCTGCTGTTGTACGAGAGTAAAACCCGGTGCGTTGAATTGTGGAATAGCTGGTTACTCGCCACATGCATCCTCCATGCCTGACAGTTAAATCCTCTTAGAATGACGTACGTCAGGGTATCTTGCAACTTCAGGCACGGTGAACAAAAATATGAATTTACCTCGGCGGATAGAGGGAAAAAGATTTTAAAAATCTTCAGTTTCTTGTTTTCTTTTTCATAAATTGTTTACGAATTCGCAAATTACGGGAAATCTTCCAAAGTTTGATGTTGCATATTTAGAATTTCGAAGATGTTTAAACAAATTACGTTAATCTAAACTGTATCGCATTAAATTCAGATGTGCATGAAAATAGGTCAATAACACACGGATATATCAAGAACTCTAAATGTGAATAGTGTTCCGTTAATCCAACCACCAAATACCATCTATTGGAATTTATTGCATTCTTTTGATGTACTGTACCTAATGAAGTTAAGGAAATCAATAGCAGTGGATCTTATTGCGGTGCTCAATCAATTTCGCCGTTATTTTATTTCAAACTGCCAGTGGCCACATTTGCTTACCTTGCACGGGGGGGGGGGGGGTGTTCTAACAAAAGAACGCCTCCGTCGCCAGATGAAGTTTATTCCAACCGGATGCCAGCAGCAGCGGCAGCAGCAGCAGGACTGCCAAATCTCCCATTCCGTCACCACATTACCACCGGTGGCCCCTGAGTAGGCGCTGAGCCAGTTTCTCCACAGGCCCACCGAGCGTTCACTTCCCTCACAGGGATACTCGTTGTGTGTTTATCCCAGAGGGTAGTGGGGGGGGGTCTCCGTTGCACGATATTGGAGATATTCTTCGCCAGGCTCGAACTCGGCGAAATAGGAGGAAAGGGTAAAATTGATACGTTGCCATTTTGTGGATGTCACCAATTATTTTTCACACGTGCAGAATGGACCCTGCTGTATTCACCAACGGATCAAACTTCACGTCCCTTGAACACTTCGTTGACGGACAGTGGCTTTCACTCTTGTCTCTCTTTTATGTACTATACAAAATATATCTTCAACGGTCGTAATCAATCCACTGGTGGATGAAGGCCTTCCCAAATCTACCTCGCACCTGCATGCGAGCTGAATAATTGCACCATCTCCTTGGCACGTGTGTCCCCTTGGATGCGTTCCATTATATATCTTCACGTTAAAACAAACCGTTAATGACGTGACTGAACTGGTTGGAAAATGTGCAACTAAACGTGATGGGTTATAGTTAAATTTGGCATGTTTGCGTACGTTAATTTGTTATAAAAACCAATGTGTTTGCTTCCCTTACAGCTCATGCAGTACCCACTGCAGGCAGTGCTGGAGGTGAAGGACTATGTGGTGGAAATGGCCTCCAAAGTGGGCATGCAGTGGCTGCAGGCCGCCCTCCCGCTCAACCAGATCAACACCATCATCTTCTTCTTCATTCTCAGCAGCCTCACCATCGACTTCCTGGGTTTCATTATCCCACTCATCATCTTCTACCTTGCCTTCGTTTCTATGGTAAGGTCATCGCGGGCTCAGCGGGCCCTCCTGCAAGGCAGCTAAGAGCTCCGTTCTGCCTCTTGCCTTCTTGCAGAGCATTGGGCCAACACGGTTGTTGCAATCCTGGGTCTGAATTCCAAGCAGGGACCTGAGATTAAACCAGGTTGTCAATAATGGCGAGATCATAAACTCAGCTTTGTCTTCAGTGCTTGAGAAGAAGAATAAAATATGTTTTGTTAAAGGTCTCATGTCATTAGTGCTAGCTTTAACATCACACTCATCTATCTGATACACAGCAAACATTTCTGGTAAGACAGTCCCTGTAAGGTTCACAAAGGACATTCACAAGAAGTAATTTGCCAATGAGAAGGATATTCTCTGTCATGAGAAGCTGGATAAATTTGAATACTTTACCCACAAAGCCTCACTGAGCCTACATGACTGTTTGGGTGAATTTAATTGATGACGTTTTACATTGGAATGCCTCGGGAAATCTAACGCACGTGAGGAGTGAACACTGCAACGTTTGTACCAATTGGCCATGAACCGACTTGCTGGACCGCCCCTTAAGAGGCACATCACTGCCTAGCCAGTGCGTTATTTCACACACGTTGTGGTTCTACCAACCCTTGCGTGACAACCCTGATTTCCAAGTGACTTAATTACAGCTATGTGCTACGAGTCTAGACACGTTTTTGGTTAGACATACCCACTGATGATTTCAGGTGAAGGCCCATAAACTGTATTCCAGGAGTGTTCCTCTCTATGCTCATGATGGCATCAATGAAACTATAAAACTATTTAAACTATCTTTTATTTTACTAGGTAAGGCCCACCGAGCTATATAGCTCTTTTGCAGAAGCGACCTGGCCACAAACGATCGTGCCATGAAGTGGCTCATCATGTGGAAATTAAAGCAGCCAAATACCCTGAACGCACGTTTCTAAATGTGGAGGGGAAAACCGGAGGACCCGGGGAAAAATCCACATGACCACGGGGAGAGAGACCATGTAACTCAAAATATGCAGCAGGTGTCAGGGTCGGGATCGAACCCACGATCTAGATAGATAGATAGATCGTTTATTGTCATTGTCACCAGTACAACGAAATTTAAAATGCTCACCAGTCAGGGCCTCATTCATAAATTTAAATTAAATAAAACAAGAAAATAAAAATAAAATTAAATGAAAGATAATCAATTTATACTATATATAAAAACAGCCCAAGTATACCCACATACCCACATAAGGTTACATTTTGTCATTGCACATCTCTATTTCACAGTCAATTGTAAACGCTATTACTTGATAATTAATTAGCATTATTGAGTGTGGTGATCGCTGTAGGATAAAAGCTCTGTTTGAATCTGTTTGTCCTTGTTTTGACTGATCTGAATCGTCTGCCTGATGGCAACAGCTCAAACAGTGAGTGTCCAGGGTGAGAAGAGTCCTTTATAATGTTCTGTGCTTTTTTGATGCAACGTGAACTGTGTAGTTCTTCCAGTGTGGGGAGATGGCAGCCGGCGATCTTTTGGGCTGTGTTGATGACCCTCTGGAGCGCTTTCCTCTGAGCCACTGTGCAGCTGGTGTACCATACACAGATGCAGTATGTAAGAATGCTCTCGATGGAGGCTCGGTAGAAGGACACCAGCAGTTTCTGTGTGATGTTATTATTCCTGAGAATTCTCAGGAAGTAAAGTCTCTGCTGGGCCTTTTTCAGAAGCTCAGTGCTGTTGGCGCTCCAGGTCAGGCCCTCCCCAATGTGGACTCCCAGGAAGCAGAAGTCTGCCACCCTCTCCACACAGTCCCCGCTGATGATTAGTGGTGGAGTGTCCGTTTTCTTTCTCCTGTAGTCTATTATGAGCTCCTTGGTCTTTGCGGTGTTAAGGAGCAGGTTGTTGCCTCTGCAGTATGCTGTCAGCCGCTCCACCTCGTCCCTGTAGGCAGACTCATCCCCCCCAGAGATGAGCCCCACCACTGTGGTGTCATCAGCAAACTTCACAATGGTGTTGCTATGGTGGACGGCGGCACAGTCATGTGTGTAGAGGGAGTAGAGCAGGGGGCTCAGTACACAGCCCTGGGGGGAGCCGATACTGAGGCTCAGGGCTGTGGATGTATGACGGCCCACTCTGACCCTCTGTCTGCGGCCCGAGAGGAAACTATATATCCACATGCAGGTGGAATGTGGAATCCCCAGGTCGCCCAGTTTTTCCACCAGTTTGTGTGGGAGGATGGTGTTGAACGCGGAACTGTAATCCACGAAGAGCATCTGCTGTATACCAGGCGAGGTCGTTAACATCTCACCACCGCGCCGCCACTGCTTTGCTGTGGTTAGCAAAAGCTCATACTCTTAGTTCTTTCGGTAAAGTCACGTAGGTAAAAAATGACATTAAAATAAAAAAAAAGCTCGTCATGAATGTGAAAACAAAATCGTTGGTCACCCTCCAATCGTGCCGACGCTGCTCTCTGGCCGTCTTCGACGTGCACAGGTGATCTGCACACTGCGCGTGGTGCAGCTGGGCAAGGCGTGGGAGGAGTTCCGCACGTGGACCAACATGGTGCTCGAGTACGAGCCCTGCCTCGACGTGGCGGAGGCCGAGGCCCAGTTCGGCTGGTCGCACCTCGAGCCCTACCTCCACTTCCTGCTGTCGGCGCTCTTCACCGTCCTGTCGTACCCGCTGGCGGCACGCGCCTGGCTGCCCTGCTCCGAGCTCGCCGTGCTGGCGGCCGTGCTGGCCATCGCCGGATATTACACGGGCACGGGGCAGGCGGGACGCGTCCAGACGCACGCCCGCAATGCCCTCCTCGCGCAGGTGCGTCGGCCCGCTGTCCACTCTTAGAAACTAAACAATGTTTTGTGTTACCAGGTAAGGCCCACTGAGCTATGTATGCATGTATATTGAACTTCTTCAACTTCCTTTGCACCGTACGTAGCCAACCGTAATAATAGGTGCTATGTAGCTCTTTTTTCAGAGGCGACCTGGCCACATGATAACTCAACGAAGTGGCTTATCATGTGGAAACTTACAGCAGCGAAATGCTCTTAATGCATGTTGATTATATGTGGAAGGGAAAACTGGAGGATCCGGAGACAAATCCACGCAACCATGGGGAGAGAGACACACAGACTCCAAATATACAGGCGTCAGGGTCGGGATCGAACCCACAACCTCCTGTATACAAGGCAAGGAAGTTAACGTCTCGCCACCGTGGCATCCCTAGGATGTTGGGCCATCGAATGGGAGCTTGCCCATCGTGCTGTCGTAGATCACTGCCCCAGGTGCAGATCCTCGCATCATGCAGCACTGGTGTGTTGCAGGTTAGTGCATTGCGCTAACCAAACTGGCGGCCTGCCCTGGATTCCCGGCCATGGCTGTAACGTCAGTGGCAGCGAATATCTGAACGGGTCCGTGGCATCCCTGAGGAAGACTCCTAAATGAGTACCTGGTGCGGTGTGCAAAATATCAGCATGGGGGGGAAGACACAGGTGGCCGGGCGGGGTGCCAGCCTTTAAAGGCGTTCCGTATCAGCGCTCGCCGTGCATTGTCAAAAAATTGTAAAGAAAGAATAATTGTTATTTCTCTCTCAGCTGGACTTGAGCTGTTCTAAGAGGAAGATTGTTTACTTTTGTCTCGTATTATATATGTGTTTTGTGCTTGGTCCCACAAAGCCCACATACATATTGTAAATAAATAAACGATCGTTTATCTAACTTATACTGCCTTTACAAGTTAATAGTATGTTCAAAGTTACCTCAGGCACTGTTGCCTCACAGCTTTTCCATTTGAAACTAACATCAAGGGGCGATGTCAGCTTGCCCCTCTAGTTCCAAGCTCCCTGACTCATCATTAAATTACTCCAGAAGGCAAATATTGGCATTGAGTTTACATGTAACCCCAATAGCCACCTGATTAAAAACAAAATACTTTCCCTCCAATTGACCAGTCTCAAATCGACCATTAACACTGCGGTTTCAATTTCCAAACTTAACATTGTGGCCCGTTGCCTAGCAACACGGTTGCCTAGCAACCGGTTGTTTATGACAACCGAGCCGTGCTTAGCAACGCAGTAGCAACTCGTGCCACGAGATGGCAACGTGCGATTGTAGACGATGCAACATGTTGGCATCAGCGCTACACATTCTAGATGCCTCCGCGTGTGAACAAGTCTTTCAGAACATCTCCAGCGGGTTGCCCAGGCTATGTTAATGATGTTTAGTTTCAAGAGTGGCAGAAATGTATTGAACGAGATAGGCTATTGACGTTGTTATCCGGTGGTCGGCCATTGTGTGTCAGTAAATTACTCTAGACGGCAAATATTTGCATTGAGTTTACATTTAGTATGCAAGTCCTGACGGTGAGTCTCATTCGGCTGGCAGGGTCCACACGCGTTCCTGAAGGGCACCGCGTTATGTAACAATCTCGTTATAATAAATAATATATAATAGAGGGTAAAGGACAGTCCGTGGTAACGCGTGAGATGCGTACGCAGGCCGAACAAAGACTGAGGAGCGTGGGTAGCATCTAGAAGCATCCAGCAGCATCCCACTGCCTCGTGTGATGATGATGATGATGCTACGCAGAGGCAGCCGTACGACCGCTCATTCAATGGAGTTATATCCAATTCGCATCCGCGTTATAAAAAATGTGTTCCCTAATACACTCATCGCGTTATATCAAATTTGCATTAAGAAAACAACACGCAGCGTTATAGGAGAACAGGCTGCACTCGTATTACAGCGCTGTAAGACTACTGTCACAACGTTGTTACTAAGAAAAACACCATCTTCTGGCAAGTCAACAAGAGTTTTTCTCCAAAGAGACTGGTCATCGGGTTTATTTGAACCATTGATGTGGATGAGCACTTACGCAAGATTTTTTAAGCAGGCAAAGACAAAAACGCTTTCCAGGTGTACATCATTGTGTCAGTGTAGATCAGTGTAGAGTAACAGACCACGATATACATCATTTGGTCCACATAATCACCTATGCAGAAAACTATACGTATGTTGAACTTCTTTTGCACCGTACGTAGCCAACAGTGATAATCAGAGGTGCAGGGAAAGACAACAAACTAAACACGAAAATAAATTCTAAAGAAATATCTCCAGTGGCTTCCTAATATCGGAAGCAAGAGCATTCCAGACGGCCGCAGAAGTGCATCTGAAAGCGCCACGATGCGGCGACCGTCTTTGTTCGATGGTTAGCCAAAAGCCGCTGCTGCGAGGATGACCGTTGGAGTTCGCGTGATAATGGTTTATGCTTCTTCACGATATCAGCATGTACAGCATGGGCTGTTAATACTCGTGCATGCAACCGAAAACATAACTAAACAACCGAGGCTGAAAGACGCACTTTCAAGAAAACAACGGCCGCCGCCACCTTCCCACGTCTCTTTCGTTTGCCGGCCGCCGCGCTCCGAGCAGGTGGCGATATCAGCCCTGCAGGGCCTGGCCTCCCTGCCCACCGAAGCCCCCCTCGCCTGGCTCCTGCGGCCCCTCGGCGAGAGCCACCTGACGCTGCCGCTGGCGCTGCCGTCGCCGAGCGTCGCTCCGTCCCTCGCCCCCTCGCTCCGCCTCAACCTGGGCCTGCCCGCGCTGCTCTACGCCCTCCTCGTCTACTCGCTGTACCGCGTGGCGGCGGGCGCGCGCGGCGGCGGGGGCGGCGGCGGCGGCTACCGGGGGGCGTGCTGCGCGCTGGCGCCGCACGTCGTCTGCTTCGTGTGGTGGGAGCTGTCGGCCGAGCTTCTCTCGAGCGGTGCGACGCCGCTGGGGCTGCTGCGCGCCTCCGTGGGCTACGCGCTCTTCGTGTTCGCGCTGCCCGTGCTGGCCGTCGGGCTCTGCGCCGCTGCCGCGTTCCACTGCGTGCGCTGGCTCGTGGCGCTCGAGTTCGCTAAGGTGGGCGTCACGCTGGCGCTGTGCGCCGTGCCCGTGCTGCTGCGCTACTGGAACCGCGCCTCGGCCGCGCAGACGCCCAGCCCCGGGCACACCTCGCCCGTCAGGTGCGTGCGTGTGCGCGTGTTTGCCGCTGTCCCGGCCTTCATGGGTGCTACTCGCTATAACAGCACTTGCCCCAACAGCCTGCTAAAGATATACGGGGGATCTTTGTCTTTGTGTTCACCGCCTTCACAGGTGCTACTCGGGAATAGCACTTGCCTCGGCAGTCTGGTAAGGTTATATGGGGATCTTTGTCTTTGTTCACCACTGGGGTGGGAGCAAGTTTAAATGTTTTGTTAAATACGTTCAACAGCAATATGATTTCACTAGCACCAGGCTTAGTCTCTGAGCCATACCAAAGGACACGTATTTGTCCTTGAGTTTTCACTCTAACAAAGGCTTAGAAACTTGGACTGAAGCACCCTTAGCATTCTGTAGGTTCGTTGGAAACACGCTAGGCTTCTTAAATTAAACTAGAACACCGTTATTACGATTCCTGGACTTAAGCTGAGTGGTGTTCAAGCCCGAGGCTCGCAAAGGCAGATGCACGGCTCCCTCATGAGTACCAGTTGACACCCAATGTAAACGCCCTAGATGTTAAAACACCAAACTGAAACCTTTTACAAGGAATCATGTCTGCATTAACCACAACACTTGTGCTCAGAGTGCAAACAAACATCTTAACACTTGTTTTGTTACTCTTTGGTTCATTCGGTAAAGTCACATAGAAAGGAAATAAAATAAGTAATAGGATATGACCTATCGATTGCAACACAAGCAACCGTCATCAGGTATGAATGAATGAGAAAACAAACTTAGTAAAATTAGAAATGTAATGCAATGCAACACAGAGAGTCCAAAGATTGCTAAATTTGTGAAAGAGACAAATACAGACACTGAGACACAGACACACAAGCAGAGAGAGACTCACACAGAGACAGAGAGAGACACACAGAGACACACAGACACACACACAAGCAGAGAGAGAGAGACACACAGAGAGAGAGACACACAAAGACACACAGAGAAACAACGCCTCTGTGTCGAGGCATTATATAGAGTGGGTGGGGGGGGGGGGCAGAGAAATTAGCATGTCAATAAGAGCGGCCGGAGGAGAGAAATTGGGCCTGTTGCATTGCATTACATTTCTAGGTTTTTTTTCTCATAAATTCATACCTGATGACGGTTGCTTGTGTTGCAATCGAAACGTCGTATTCTATTATTTATTTTATTTCTACGTGACTTTACCAAAAGAACCAAAGAGTAATTCATGCAGTCACGAAAGCTTCTAATCAAGTTTTTAGCACTTTGCTTTGTTTATGTTTATTTATAGCGACTCGCTCACCTTTTCTCGATCTTGCACTCGTATCGTCTCCCGTATTGCTTTTTTATGTAACTCGCTGAGCCGCCCCCTACTGGACATCCGTGGAGAAGAGCTTCATGGCTCATCGGATTCCTCCAGGATAACTAAATGAATAATACCGATTCTGGCTCAGACTCATCCTCTTCTGGCTGACAACGGTGGCGGCGCTGAGTTTCCTGAACTGCCACGCGGCTGGAGCGCACCGCGCGGCCCTACAACTCCCCCGTGTCGCTCGAGGCGTACGTGGCCGCGTGCGGGCCCGACGCCTGGCAGCAGAGCAGCATGGCGCACACGCAGTACATGTGCGCCCACCTGGAGGGACACAGGTGAGACACACAACTCACAAGCGCCTCGCCTCACCTACCTCATGCCGTCACTTGAAAGTGCGTACGTACGTACGTTGAACTTCTTTCGCACCTTACGTAGCCAACCGTGCTAAATCGGACAACAAACTAAACACAAAAAGCAGTTCTAAAGAAAATTGGAAGGTGAAACATTCCAGATAGCCGCCGACGCGCATCTGAAAGCGTGCGATGCAGTGACCATATTTATTCGATGGCCAGGCAAAAGCCGCTGTGAGGATGTATAACAGCAGCTCCTAAAGTACATCACATGTACAATGGTTTATTATAGTGCTGCAATATATCCCCGTCCCCTACAACTCAAAACCCTTGCCTTAATTATAAATGCTGATAACACTGGACTTGTTCCGAACAATACCCAACACCCCTAAATTATCTGCTAATCCTAACAGCAAGTGTGAACCTTAAATCCTCCAATTAATAACACTAATCTCAACCCGTAATATCACCTATGTTTGCAACCTTACTTACAACTGCTACATACGAGTCTCTCGCTCAAAACTCCCATTAATGAATCCAATAAATTGCGTCTATCGTTTAACCCGAACCAAGAACCGCAAAGCCCTTGGCATCCCTGTCTTATTCTTAGGTTTTTTCGGTAAAGTCATGTAGGTAAAAAATTTAAATTAATAAAAGTAAAATAAAAATAAAATAAAAATCACGACGTTTCGGAGGCAACACAAGCTTCCGTCTTCAGGTAGAACCGTCACAGCACGATTGCTGTATCCCCTTACTTGATACAGCTATCGTGCTGTGACGGTTCCGCCTGAAGACGGAAGCTTGTGTTGCCTCCGAAACGTCGTGATTTTTATTTTATTTTTATTTTACTAATTTTAATTTTTTACCTACGTGACTTTACCGAAAAAAACTAAGAATATGAATCTTTGCAGTCACGAAAGCTTCAAATCTAGAATCCCTGTCTTAGTCCGAGCCTCAAACCCCTCGCCCTGTCGATGGCGCGGCTTCTCCCCAGAGTGACGTGGGTGGGCCAGCTGAAGCAGGTGCGCATCTTGGAGACGGAGAACGCCCTGGAGACCTTCCTGGGCCTCCTGCCGCTGCCCGTCGCGCGCTGGATGCGCTGCGTCTATGGCGATAAGTGAGCACCTGCACCCACCGTTGACGTCATCCGCATGGGCATCCATAATAGAGGTGTTTGGGTTAGGTCGCGTAAATATATAAATGTGTCATTAAAACCCGTCACCACCACACACACAGCCAACGAGTAAGGGTTGTCATGTAAACAGAACATGGCAATTCGTCACTAGTACAGCACACCGATGTGTTGGAGAGCCAAGCCACAACATTTACATTCTGAGTACGACGTTTCGCCAGTAATTACAACCAGCTTCATCAGGCGACAGCCAGATTTGTGGAGAAGTCCACCTGTTTCGTTCCTTGTATAGAGGCGGAGATGTGGTGACCACGCTTCTGCGCTTTTGCACAATGTGGGGAGAGGGGGATTACCGAGGCAACGTACATTATGCATGTGCATTATGCGAGCCCTTTGAACTTGTCCTTCTTGTCTGAAGAACAAGTCCAGAATGGTCTTGAGCCAACACCGCTCAGAGCTGGGTTGGAGTCCGAGCTCTCGGCCACCTTGTGTTCAAAACATCCTCTCAAGCGGAGTGAATTGATGACCTCATCTCGGTCGCCAGAGCCCGCATTCAAAATTTGATGTAAAAGTATGGATTTTCACTTAATTCAGTCCTAGTACAGCTTTGGTGGTCTTAAGTGTATGCACATAATGGCATATTGATGTTTGGAAAACTGACAAGTTTTTTAGCAAGGCCTGAAGGAGCATTCTTGTGAACTTTTAAGAGGCCTTTTAAAGTCACACCATAAATATCTTCGTGCCATCTTCCGGTTCTGTTAGCATTATGTAAATGCTCGCCTCGTGAAACGACATCGGGAGCACACATTTGGACACGGTTGGCGATTGAATCCCAAGAAATGTAAAGTGTTTAAAACGTGATCAGAGTTTTATGGGCTTGTCATGTAAACGAAACGTGCCAGCTAGTTACTACTTGAGTACACCGGTGTGTCAGAGAGCAAACCCACGAAGGTTCAGTACCGTGACGTTTCACTGGTGGTTAAAACAACCAGGCGATTTGCCAGAATTGTGGAGAAGTCTTCCTGTCAAACAGACCGCCGACGTGTTCAGCCGTTTAAAACGTGCAACGTGCCGAACCGTGCCCGTGCGCCACCTTCCCCCCAGGTACCCTCCGTGCAACAGCACCGAGCGCAAGCTGACGGCGAGCGAGGAGCGCCTGTGCCGCACGCCCCTGCCGGCGCGACACCCGTGCCACCTCAAGCGCCTCGACCGCTACAAGTTCGAGCTGACCCTCGTGACCCTGGGGCCGGGCGCCGCCGACTCCCAGCGCGACGTCTACCTGCGGGGCGGCAACGAGTTCCGCGAGCTGCTCCTGCGCGTACCGCACGGCAGCAAGGTGGAGGTGAGCACGCGGCTCGAGGGGCCCGGCCTGGGCGCCAGGTGGCCGGCGTTCGACCTGCGGGCCGCGCGCTGCCTCGGCTGCTCGGCGAACGAGGGCTGGGAGGAGGCGGAGGAGGAGGAGGGAGGCGCTGGGCCGGCGCTCGGGCGGCGATTCCTCAAGGTGGAGTACGACTGGTGGAGCACGGCGCTCAGCGGAGTCAAGTTCGCCTTCAACTTCTTCTTCTCGCCTCTGCTCAGCGTCGAGCTGGACTGAATCGCCGGGGCGGCAATGGTGTCTGGAGGGGCTCGTTTGCTGCGAACGGGAATGCTGTCCCCGAGCGCGATTGGGAAATAAGCCTTGTGTTTGGATTAAAAGTGTGTGTTGCAAAAGTGCGCCCACCCCCCCCCCCCCCCCGATTTTGTTGCTGTTTACGCACAGTTAGTTTTGTTTTCGGTTACTGAGGCGTTATTGTTCGGTACGTGGCGAAGTTGGCAACCTGCTCGCCAGTAGAGAAGTTTGCACGTCACTAAATGGGTCATTTCCTGTTATGTCAACGGGTGTATTTTCAATGTTTTGCCATTATTGACAACGTTTTGCCGTTTGTCAATGTCGTCGCTGCACTACCAAAATAAAGCAATGACTGTAAAGCTGCCAAGGGGTTTACTAGTTCGCTTAATCTTGATATTCAACTGGGAAACCTCCCCACACACAATATCAGCCGAGTCTATAAAAAAAAATTCACTTCAAGCCTAAATAATATTTTTAAGATTCAAAGCAAACGTGTGAACACCGTTATTTGTGCGCGACACATCTTGAGGTGAACTGCGAAGGTGGCAACGCCACGCTGCAGAACTAACCACACCGTCACCGCGGTGGCGAGGTTCACAGCTTGCAGCGGGGCCAAGCGAATCGCCCGCTGTCTGTGTGATGCCCGCGTGCGTTGGCTGCCCGCGTGCTGTACACGGCCTTCGAGATGCGTTGATTACACTGGTCAACACACTTTTTCTGGCATAAGGTATTCCAACGGTTTTAAGGTAATTTTGGGGTGCTGATTCCAAATCTGGCATCAGTTTTTGTCTATCACATCAGGTTTTTGAGATATCAAATATTGCATTTTCAATAAAAACTGCAGAAGAAAAATATTAAATAAATGTGGATATCTACATAAAATGATAAACACACTATCCTAAAAATACAGCACCATATTTTAACACTAAAGCAGTCACTGACTCGCAACAACTTGCAATCATAAGTGACAGAGTTAATTTCGGGTAAAATCAATGAAAATGGGGTATGCCGATAGCATACAATGAGATGTGATAGAGCAAATCTGAGATTTGGAATCGGAAACCTGACATTAGTCTTAAACAGCTGCAAAAGTCCAGGCCAGAAAAGATTTTTTTTTTGGTTGACCAGTGTTATCTGAGCACGCCCAGTGCTGCACTCTTTCCTCTTTGCTTGTAAACGACGCGAAGGTCTTTCCATGAAGCCACGGCAAGCGCGGTGTATTTTACACATCTGTCCCCGGGCCGGTGGCTGCTTCACGGTACATTACCTACTAACAAATGGATCGTGAAATGCACGAACATGTAACCCCATATTATCCCGATAAGAGTGCGCCCGCGTTGCATGCATATGAATCTATAAATCAGGCCACACAGAGGGGAGGGGGTCTGCTCGGCTCTGCATTGATAACGTGCCAGTGTGTGCTTGGAATGTATAATTCTAGAGCACAATAAAGGCTTAGGATTGTGAAAGTGTATCACACCGACGGTTATGTAAATAGCACGAATCTTGAATTTCATTTAGAAACAAGCGTTTTAGAGTATTTGGCTGCTATACATTTCCACGTGATAAGCCACTTCCTTGAGCTATCATCTGTGGTCTGGTCGCTTCTGAAATAGAGCTATACAGCTCAGTTGAGCCTTACCCGCTAAAATAGAGTAAAAAATAAAATAGTAATTCCACGATCGCGGTCATCCGTTCCAGCTGCCCCGTGTCGGTCGTGTGTAGCTGTGCAAGGCCTGCGTGGTGTGCAAGGCGTGTGTGGTGATGCTGCAGCTGTAGGCGCCAAGTTTGAGCAGCTCGCAACCCTGTGATGTGACCTTGTTTAAAGGGGGAGCGCAATACGACAACAAAACTGAGGTGTGATGGCGGGCCCACGACACAAATGTCAGAATATTTATTTGTACTGGAGGAATTCGATAAGCTACGTTGGGGAAACGAAACGACATGTCTCGGAGCGTGTTCGTGAACACAAGGCAGATCTGAAACACGTTAGGACCAATACCTCTGTTGTTGCTGATCATTGTTTTAACACTGTGGGCTCACACGAAATTGATTTTTCCAAGACCAAGGTACTCTGCAAACCCACCGGCTATCAGAGATTTGTTCATAAAGCCATCCAGATATATAAACACAGACACAACTTCAACCGAGAAGATGGGTACAAACTGAGCAATCATTGGAAGGACGTTAGTAACCAGGTAAAGTCTTAACTGACTGTGATGTTTCCATGCTACCTGCCTATGTCCGCTGTTATTTCCGACTCTCTGTGGGTGTCTCTCTCTCTGTGTCTCCCTCTCACCATGTGTACCTCTTGCGCTTAGGGGTTTTTTGTTCCTGTTGCCCGGCTCTCTGACATTGACATGCCAATCTTCTCATTGGCACACCTCCGGTGTCTGGGCCGTCCCACATTGACATGCTAATCTCTCACATTTACAGCTTCAAATCAAGATTTACGTACAAATTCCTTCTCCAGCTCTGCCCACTTACCCTTGGGTTGGGCCCACCAAAATCCTACATAAACTCTCGTTGCAGCAGCTCTTTCTCCTACGTCAGCAGTCCTCCTGCTGTGTTTGTTTCGCACCTGATGACGGTTGCTTGTGTTGCGATCGAAACGTCGTGATCTATTATTTTTTCTACCCACGTGACTTTACCGAAAGAACCCAAGAGCAAAGCTCTTTTTCGCAGATGTCCAGTCGGGGCGTGTCAGAACGTTACGACAACAAACAGTGCAAAAAAAACGATAGGAGTGCTAATTATAGTATAGGTAAACAAATAACTTGAAAATGTACAAATAAAACTACATTATTTTTTTAATCTTACCATGTAAAGCCGACCGAGGTATTAACATATTTTTTCAGAAGCGAACTGGCCACAAATGATCGCTCAACAAAGTGGCTTACGTGGAAATGTATAGCAGCAAAATAATCGATATATCAATGCATGTAAATGTTAAACAGAATGAATACAATCCGCTTGTGTCTGTCACGTGTTCTTATCTGCTTTTCACCCACGATGCACGTGTTGTACGGGTTTCCCTCGTCATTCACGAGCTTGCTGTCTGCGGTTTTGGTTGTCCGTGAATCCCATCTGGAACTTTACACGACCGCACGGAGAGAGAGAGAGAAATGCATTGATGAGCTAAAGTGATGAGAGAGAATGTGCTGCGAGAAAGTGATGAGATAAGGAGATAAGACGTAACTTCTTGAAGCTTTAGAAGCATCTGCAGACGTTGCTCATACGATATACACATAGGGCAATATCATCCGCGGCATTCTGTAAACGATGTTTGGCTTGACGAAGAATTGAGTGGCGATGTTTTCAGCATTTCTTAAGTCCCCTGTAGCCCCCCCCCCCCCCCCCCAGATGCTATGGGCCTGGTTGTTCGTGACTGATACCAACATAAAATCATCCCTTCAGCAATTAACAAATTATGCTCGACAACCACGTCACGTTCTAAAATGTACACGAGGCGCATACATTAAGCACAGGCAGGAATCTCTTCTTTCAATGGACACTGCAGGGATATCTGAGAAAACGAATATGCTGGGCCAGCAATTGGTCCCATTAATCATAAACTAAGGATTAAACTTTGAAATTGATTTACTCTGCGGCTCATTAACCATTAAACATTGTCGCTCAGTGCATGTCCCGCGAGCCGGGGACGAGAGCGGTGTGGCAGTGGAGCGGTCTGCACAGAGCAGGGGACCAGTTGCGGATGGTGTCTATGGGGGCCTTGGGGGTGCTGCCCCCATCTAAGATTGAATGTTAAACTTGAAACCCGTTTGCAACAAAACAAATAGAAACTCATCACAAATGAGGAGGATGCGAGCTTCCCATTGGCCGGTCTAAGGGCGATCTCGGGGACGCCTCGACCAATCACAAGTCGCCCTGCTTGAGGCTATTTTGCATTCCCCCAGTCTATTCAAACGCCCCCCCTCTAAAATGTAACCCCTCCCCCAAGATTCAGTCGCCCGTGGTACATCCCAACATGGACATGTGGGGCTCTGCTGATGAGTGCGAGACCTTAGGGGGCCATCCATAAATGACGTCACGCACCTAGGGGGGGGGGTCAGACATTTGCGACGATGTGTGACGAATTAAATATACTTTTTAAAATAAATGTTTTCTCCTACAACATCAGAGTGCAGCGCCACATTCAATACGCACTACAATGACAGTAGTTTAAAGCGATTTGAAGCATGTTTTATATATTTTTGGGCAGGGGGGCAGAGCTTTGTGACGTCATTTTTTGCGGGGGGGGGTCTGACCTTTTATGACGCCGTGTGACGGGGGGGGGGCTCAAAAATCGTCCAAAATCGCGTGACGTCATTTATGGACGGCCCCTAAGCTCATCATGCGTCCCTGACCTCTCGTGATCCTGCAATAGAATCCACCGATATCATCCAACACCAAACAAGCCGATGCATTTGCTCCGTCTCCTCGGTGGAGCGGTTCCTCTTTGAATGCGCGATCCATTCCGAAACCCATGGGTTGCCAACGCCGTTTTTTATTTTTGACCTATCAACCCCTCGTAGCCACGACGTCCAAATGATGTTTTTTTATCAACAGTTTGAAACGATGTCACTAAGCGGCGTCTAATCCACGCGTTCCTCTGTCCGCCTCGGTGTCATCATCGCAAGCGGACATCCTACCCACGCTTCTGTGCGCACTTTACAATTTTTTTGTGTTTTTGTCTCTTTACGTCTCTTGGTGAGCGACCTTTGTTCGTGAACCTGGGAGTAACTCTACTACGCCCTGACGACCAGAACTTGTGTCTGCACTCGGTCACGTTCACGTTTCATTAGCAAGGCGGTAGCCCGGCTCGGCCGTGGAGGGGAAGCCGCAATCGAGATTGGAGAATGTTCAGAGTCGTTCGAATTGACGTCGGAAGGGCCACGCGCGCACTCTTCGGTAGCAATGCTGCCCGGTCTGGCCTATAGGACTTGTCCCACTGAAACCAAACAGAGCAACCCTGACCCACACTGTTGCACTCATGCATGGTCATCGCATCCGCCAGTGGTTCTCAACCTTTGGTTGGCTTCCTGTGACCCATTCTTGAAAAAAACAATTCAACCTCGTAACCCCCCTTGTCTGACCCAACATGGTTATCTGAGAGAGAAAAAATACATGTCCAGTATGAATAATGAACATCAATATTTTATAATAATTGTTTTTTTTTTACCCTTTTATCTGGCAACAAAACTGACACCTTTTTTTTACAACGAGTCATGTTTTCATTGACCACAATACCTGCAGTCGGAATGCAAACAAAAAAACACAACTCTGATAATGTATGCACTGTCCTTGAAATTAATTGGTCCACACCCGAGACAGCTTTTCTTAGAGCCCAGTTTCACATGGTGTTGGACCAGATGAAGCCAATATTTTAACCAATGATCTATTTGCGCCCCCCTGAGCTTGATAATGTTGTTAACGACTCCGAATGATTAGATTTGTATAAAAAATAGTGTTCATTGGAAGAATTCGAGTCGTGAATATAAATGGCATCTTAATTGGGCATGCACGTACCTCTGTGTTGAGCACTCGTTGCAGTGCAGTTTTTTTTTTTAGGATTTCAACAATCCCGATGTTGGCATGAGCTGCATTTGTGGCAGAATGAGGGTGGTGCACAGCCGGGAGATGGGATATCCACCCAAAAAGGGATCACAATGGAAACCCTATTGAATGCCCTGGGCTGATGTGGCTGTAAGCCTGGATAAGGATATCTCGCCAGTTATCTGCGGTATTCATTACTCTGCTTTGACCCCACATTTGCACCACAAAAGACAGCAGTGGGTGTACGGTGACCCGTGCTGATATAGAAATCGCTAAAAATCACCCCCCCCCCCTTCTCTCCTCCCTGATAGGGGAACACGTGACCCCTCTTAGTTGATTAATCACTTTAATTGATGCACCATTCTGCCACGTATTTTTTTATTTTCTGTTGCTATGCTTTCTCCACATTGCTTACATGTTCATGACTCTACAGTCGACCGTAATGAATGTAGTGGAGCTCTGGGCCTGCCTCTCCAACCCTCTGTCCTAGCCTAACTATAAATCATATCGCACGCAAGTCGAGGTAGACATCGCGACCAGATGTCTACCTCGTCTGCTTTCAGGGCAGTGTCGTCGCGGAAACTCAATAGGGGCCATATCCTTAGGTTTTTTCGGTAAAGTCACGTAGGTAAAAACATAAAAAAGTAAAATAAAATAAAAATCACGACGTTTCGGAGGCAACACAAGCTTCCGTCTTCAGGTGGTACCGTCATAGCCACGACAGCTGTATTGATACAGCTTACAGCTGTAAGCTTGTGTTGCCTCCGAAACGTCGTGATTTTTATTTTATTTTACTTTTTTATGTTTTTACCTACGTGACTTTACCGAAAAAACCTAAGGATATGAATCATTACAGTCACGAAAGCTTCAAATCTAGAATCAATAGGGGCCGTCCATAAATGACGTCACGCACCTGGGGGGGGGGGTTAGATATTTGTGACGATGTGTGACGAGGGGGGGGGGTTGAAAAATGTGACAACATGTTCTACTTAATTAAATATAATTTTAATAAATGTTTCCTCCTACGACATCAGAGTGCAGCGGCACATTAAATACGCACTACAATGCCAATAGTTTAAAGCGATTTGAAGCATGTTTTATTTGGGGGGGGAGGGGGGCAGAGCTTTGTGACGTCATATTTGACGTCATTTATGGACGGCCCCATATCCATGAGTCGCGAGCGAGCGATCGAGCGCGTTCGAGCGGTGTCGCAGTCGATTCCGAGCACAGCGAGCGGCGTTTCGAGCTCTTCCTGTGCACCACCAACCCCCCCGGGTTCGAATCCTTGCGGCATCCACTCGCACTGCAGAGTCAACGGTGGTTGACTCCGAACTCCGCCTTCACGTCAAAATGATCATCCCGAACCGAACCGAACGTGCTCCATGGCCACAGCACAGCCACTGGGAAGCTGACGGGAAGATTGTCGCGCATGGCAGCCTTCAAGCCCCCCCCCCAAACCCCCCATGTTTGTTCTGTCAGCCAAGCACAGGCTGTGAGGATGGACAAAGCCAGCGGTGTTGCCAGCGGTTCTCAACCGTGAGGTGGTTTATAAATGTGTGGAATGAAATGGGGCACGAGACACGTTGGTGAATAATCACGTCATAATCACGTCAAAATCACGTATGAATCACGCATGAATCACGTGTGGAACAAGTATTTATCACGTAATAATTATCACCTAATAATTACGTATGAATCAGTATGAATCACGTATGAATCATCACGTAATAATTATCACGTGTGAATCATGTAATAATGATCACGTATGAATCACGTATCAATCACATAATCACATAATCACATGAATAAAGTATGAATCACGGAAAAATCACGTCATAATTATCCCGTAATAATCCCGTATGAATCATGTATGAATCACGTATCAATCACATCATAATCACGTAATAATCACATATGAACACGTATGACTGACGTAATAATCTCGTATGAATCTGCCAATGTAAAGTAACTACGATGGCATTTAAATCCATATGGTGACCGCGAGCGATGTAAAAGACTTTTCTAAACGAAGTGGTCGTCAACAATTTGGTGGTTTCCAAGACTGACGAGCGAACTCGAACACATTACCCCATGGGTGAAAAAATAAGAAGTTTAAGTTTACCTTTTCTGACAATAAAACAGGAGTTGTGTTAGGATGCTCAAACACCAAATAGAAACCTTGTGAAAGGAATCATGTCTGCATTAACTAAACACACTACTTGTGGTAAACAGTATATGGCTTTGCCTTTGGAACTGATTGCCATAGTCTCACTATCAGTGTGCAGAGCGTCCGCTGATTTTTGTTTTATTTTTCAACGGTTTTACTTAACTTGACTCCTATGTTTGTCGTCGTCAAATCTTGTAATCAAAATTTAGTCTACTTCATGTTGTCCAATGAATTCCAAAATTTGCACACGTACTCAGATCCGGTGACAATGCATGAATTAGTTAATTAATTGGCTATTTTAAAGCAATTAAGATTTTGTATGGACGGCTTATTAATTAAATATTTATTTGTGTGACGTTGTGTATAAATCAGCCCCAAGCACTGTACTGAAGAAGCTTGACTCAATTTATCACTCGGCCTTAAGATTTGCATTGAACTGCCCATATAGGACTCACCACTGTGACCTCTGCATTGGGTCAAACTTAAATGTTCGACGGCTTGTGCACCAGATCTTATTTATTCACGATGTACTTGCAAAAAAAACCCGCAGACTACCTGCTGGATCTCCTCTCTGTTTAAAAAAACAATATTTGACCTAAGGTCTTCGCTCATTTGCCAGCTTCACATTCCCTATTGTCGTACAAATACTGGAGGAAGGGCCTTTGCTATTGATGGCCCCAGGGTCTGGAATGCTATTGCCAATAAACTGCAACTTGAGTCACTCAAAACTGCTCCAGAGGAGTCGTACACCTAGCTGCCACTGCTATTCGCTCCGGATGACCGCTGCAAAGTATGATCTGTGTATTGATTTAGTGTGCTGATCTTAAAGGTGCATTGAACATTTTTGACACTCCGACTGATGCTCAAGCTGTTGTGGAGTGACTCATGCAGGCAGCTATGGCTGCAGGGTTTGGTGGTACATGTTGTTTGTCGTTTATTGTGAAATTTCAGTCACAGTTCCTATGGTCTTTTATGGCTTTTATGGCTTTATTTTGGCGATTTCGAAAAGTTTTTTGGTTTGGCAATGTTTGTTTGTTGTAGTACGGAGGTAGACTGATGGCCTTAATCTAAGTTGTCTTGTGGTTGTGGTTGTTTCTGTTTGACTTGCATCCCACTGGGATTTTTGCACACAGTGTTGGTGTACGGTGCTTTTCCTGCAATATTTTGCTGTCTTTTCTTGGATTTTCTGTTTGCACATAGTCACATATTCACTTTAAGATGTTTTCTTGTTCATGTTTTTTTTTTGTTGCGGTTGCACCCAATTCAAGAGCTGAATGGCTCACAGGGCTATACCAAATAAATTAAATGAAACTGAAAAAAACGCCGTGGTCCCTAAACTCTGGAATCGCCTCGCCCAAGCAGCAGGTGCCACGTGTCTCTTGTTATCAAGATGTCGTCCACTTCCCGTTGTCCAATCGAGTTACAGTATTTACTTTTTAGTGCACTTTAAAACAAAACCGTTGTTAAAATTTGTTTTTAAAAGACTTTATTTAAATTTCGATTTAAAGCTTTCGTCACTGCAGGGATTCATCTTCTTGATTCTTTCGGTAAAGTCACGTAGAAGGGAAATAATAAAATAATTTAAAAATCGCTTAAATTTTTTTTATATTTATTTTATTATTATTATTTCCCTTCTACGTGACTTTACCGAAAGAACCAAGAAGAGAGTTTATACAGGTAGGAACAACAGTTCCACTGCCCACCAGGGATTATTTGTCTGTCTGTCGTTCATAGCCATGCCCTCGATTTGTATTTCATAGAGCGCTTGGGGCGGGCTCAGCACCACGTGACGCACCGCCCCCCCACGCAGCTTGCGCCGCGTGACACGGATCGCACGAATGTGCTGTCCAACCAAGTTCCTACTTGCCCACTCCGAAGGAACTTGTTTTACTTGCAGTTCCGTGCTCCACCTTGGAGCTCTCTGGCCCCAGGGCACATATGCCCCGCCCACTTCGTTTTGACACCAGGACGCTTGTGCCACGCCCATTTTTAAACCTTTAAAAACAGTTGCCTTCAGTGGCCTTACCCCCCTTTTCCTCCTGATGATGAGCGCTTGTGTTATGATCGAAACGTCATAGTTTTTGTTTGATTTACTTTTGTTTTTTCTATCTACGTGACTTTACCAAAAGAACCAAAGAATATGAATTCCTGTAGTTACGAAAGTTTTAAGTCGAAAGTTACCAGCTAGTTTAGGATACCTAGCAAAAGGCAATTGGTCAGGTCGGGCTCCAATATTTGATGTCTGGCAGGGTCGCACCGTGGCTATTGTATTTCACGGCTCCCCATTTCCTCATTACATCATTACAACAGCGGTGTTGTTCTTTTAAACCAGTGGTTCTTAACCTCTGGTGCGAGATGCCCTTTCTGTGGGTGCGAGACATATTCCAGATTTCTTTTTGAAGGTAAAGAATCGAAAACACCAATTAAGCACGGTCACGTATGTAAAGTTAGGGTTTGTTTAATCAAACCCATGTATTTATTAACTTACTTTTTTGTACGATTCAGAATCAAAGGGGTGCAAAGGCTTCGGTCAAGAACCACTGTTTCACACTTTCGTTAAAAAAACATCTCGTGATGGTGGTGGTCAAGGGGAGCCCCAAACTCGTAGCTTTGTCCACCGGGTATGGGGCGAGGTGCGCCACGCCAGCCACGCTGCTGCCTTGAACGCATTCAAGAGGCACTGGACAAAACATCGACTATATTGTAAACGGGGTTTCTTTTGACGGCCGTGTTATTTGACGGATGCGTTGGGGTTTTATTGTTGTTGTGAGACGTGCTTTGTGCGCCTCTGCCAACGAAGTGTAACCCCAATAATTTGTTTTTTTGTTATCTTGAGACAGATCGTTTTGTTGCAATGGATTAGCTTGGGGAAATAACTATTGCAAGCAACACCAAAACACGTTAAACACAATATATATCAACGTATGAATTCACATTGCATTAAATCTGAATACAACTATTTATGTATCCATTATAAAATTACAACACGTAAATATAACAAAAAATAAAAGGTCCACACGAGTCCATGTGCTGTATGCCAAAATAAAAAAACTGCATTTGTCACAGCCAGAACATTACCGGTTCACGATTCTCAACAAACTCCACGGATAAGCAGTGGATTGCCAAAGGGAAGTAATACGATCATATGTAATACCGGAGCGCTATTTTATATAGCAGACCTCATCCAAGAAACGATGACCTTCTGGGCGCCGCGGTGGCGAGATGTTATCTCCCGCTCGCCCGGTATGCAGGAGGTCGTGGGCTCGACCCCGACCCTGACGCCTGCTGCTGCACAACTTGCATGCTTCTCCCCGTGGTTGCGTGGATTGGCCTCTCTCCGAGCCCTCCCGGCCGTGGCGCCCTTGGAGTGGCGATGGGGAGGCGGCTGCTGCCGCTGCTGGGGCCATGGCTCCGTTCACCGGCCGTGAAGAACCGATACGGCGCACAGCTGCAGGTGGTACGTGGGGTGTTTCTCTGGCCAGTCAAGGGGCCGAGGATCCCTTGGGCCACCCTTTCATCGCCCAAGAGAACTTTCAAACGTTATCCACCAATTACACATTGTAATAAACATTGCCACCTCCTGCGAAAACTTGGCAGAACCCTCCTGGAAAAGGTCACGGGACTTCCACAAGGCTTCCCTGGGGCAAACAAGCGGAGGAATAAACTAATACTCAACTCATTTAGAGGTCACTTTTCAATATTTGTCATTCGACTACAAGCTATGGAGCAGCTCTCTGTACATCTGTGAAAAGGAGTTTTAGACCTCATCCGATTCTGCTCTTGTTGCTACTGCTGCTGTGGCTGATGGGGTGGTCTTGCCACCAGGCTATCTCCAAGTCAAGATGTGTGTGCTTTCGTTGACCCTTCGGTGCAGCAGCGGTTGGCGCAAGGGAGGGAAGAGTTCACACGCGTATTTGACTAGATCGGCATGGGTGCCGACGATAGAGGGGAGAAGAAAAAAAAACACGCATATGGCAGTGAGACACCGCCGATTAGCGCGGTTGGCTACGTACGGTGCGAAAGAAGTTTAACATACACACAAGGAAATACAAAAGGAGACACGAGGAGGAAAAAGTGAGGAGAGACATGGCTAAGAGACTGGGATCGGAGACGGGGAGGGAGGGGGGAGACACACTGTGAACCCCCCTATCACCTTCCATGACTTCCCTTGGGGAAGGGATGATAACCCAGCATTCAGGAAACACTGCTGTCACTGTCGGGCACTAGGCAGGGTTTTTGTTGTTGTTGGTGTGATGAAGAGTTGTGAAGCTTTTACAGGTGCCCACAATGACAGCACCAGGATAGTCTTAACGAAGACACCACCTCTGCACACGTGGACAGCCACAGATGGTCACGGTTGGGGGAAAACAAAACGGAAAGCCAGTGACACCTTGTGAAAATGCACGCACGTTTAGCCCCGAAGATGGAACAGTTTAACGTTCTTGTGACAAATACACACACACACAGCCATATACATCTACATTGTCCATACGTAGCTGACAAAGACGATGAACTTATCAGTTAAGTCATCTGGATCATTTCCCATCGCTGCTACGGCATCTGCCATTCAACAACAACAAAAATGAGCACACATCCAATGCGCGAGATTAGCAATAGTAACTGGGTTTATTTCAAATTTAATTCCAGGTTGCCCAATTGCTGGACTACCATGTACATCACAATCTATGCTTGGAGGTGGGTTTTGGTGGTGACAGGTAGGGCTCTTGATCTGGTGGCTAAAAGAGGGAATGTCAACCTTTGCATTAATAACCGGAGTGTGTGTGTGAATTTTCCCCTGCCGGCGTGCTCTAACGTTTAGTGTACAGTTTTTTTTGTGTTTCGTTTCTGCCACAGACTCAAGGTCGGGAATAAAAACGCCTCCATCCACAATCATCCGCAACCTTTGGAAATACAGTATGTTACAGTAAGTCAAAGATATTCACAGCAAAAAAAAAACATGATGCTAAAATAAAGACAGTTACTGTGTCCTAATACATTGTCGTTTATTGAGGCAGTCCTATTACCTAGTGATTCTTTGACATAACACATACCATTTTTTTTAAGAAAAGAAATGTACACATTCATTTATGTTTTCAGATTTTTTTTCCAAGCATTTGGCAAGTAACAGTACAGTCACATCTTTATATTGACTTCTATACGCGACACAGCAGTGCTTACTTGGTTAAAAAGGTTTATTTAAACATTTTTTTTTTATATATAGACACTTAGGACGTCTGAAAAAAAAGTAAATGACTGTTCATTATCTCGGTTTCCCTCCCTCCCCCCCCCGTTATTATTCCTTTCTGGTCTTCCCCCTATCCATTAGTGCTCCGCCAGTATATCCCCGTCAATGTGGCTGCCACAAGCATCTTACCCCGGCTCCACGGCCGAGCCGACACAATATTCACGAAATGTTTGCGACATGCAGGCGGCGTCTCAACATGGGATGGGCCACGTGTGAAACCACACGCATGTGACGTACGTAAGATAATGTATAAATAGTGTTTTCTTTTTGCCTCTCTGAGCCTTTCTCGGGAGAAATTGGTCGGTCAATAACAGTCCCAAAGAAGACCACATCAGAAAGAAAAACCAAGATATATAATATAGTCAAGTCAAAGTATCCCCAAGTTCACGCGAGCATTTAGGCAGCACTCATTCCCGTCGCCGGTCCTGAGCAAGTGGTGTAAATCCCATGTTCCTATGGCAGGGATCAGTCTCTGCATAGGATAACCACTGCTGACTTCATACCGAGTGGTGTAACCTCACCAAGGTGGTCATCGTATTTAGTGACCCCAGAGCGATAGACAGTTAACCTTGGCCAGGATTTGTACACACATATGTGCATATCTTGTATAATATACACACGTGTACACAGCATGTACGTAGTCCATAAGAGAGTATACAACTTACCATGGCCCAGAAATGTATAAAGGCTGGGAAAATGTTAAAATAAATCTACTGGGAGTTATTCTACTTATTAGTTATTTCAATCATTTGTTTTAAAACAATCAATTCTGTTTTAACGCAAGGGTTACAACCTATGCAGAGCCAGCCAACGTTCATATCCGGCTCAAAACACATGCATGTATGTAGAGGCAAGCCTTTTAAGAGTGCCATGCAGGGCATTGTCATGCCCATCAACCACAACCCAACAACATAACAAACAAACAAAAATGTCCACGTTTTGAAGCGCCTATATGGCTGCAGCTCTTGACCACAGATGCCAGATGACCATCGCTGGAATGAATACCCAAAACACAGAAATGGAATGACAAGCAAATTAAAAAAAACACAGTAACGGCACATTTCTTAAACCCACGCAAACAGATGATACAGCCTAAAAAACAAAAGCATAATATAAGCATAATGCTTCCACACGTACTGGCTAGTGCGGTAAATTTACAGTACTGTACTGATCTTTTTGTCGTTAAGTATTGTGGAGTGACACATTTTTTTTGTGTGTAAATCTAATTGCACTGTCCATTTGCCAACTGGGATATCACACAACTGTCAGGTGAGACACAACACAGCACAAGCAGCTGACAGTTCTGGCTTTATTACTCTAACACAGGAGTTGTGTGTGTGTATTTTTTTTATTTTTTTTCAGAATTAAGATAGACAACGCACAAACATTTGCATAATCCACAGGCTATGGTGTACAGTATTCTGTTTATGTGGAAAATGATATTTCGCTTTGTTCGTTAATGCTGCTTATATACGAGGGACCAAAATTATAATGTAAAAAAAGGGCCCAGAAAAAAAACTGATATTAAAGAACCACTTGTGCTGGACTGCCCCTCCCAAGATGTCACAAACGATGCATCCCCCCCCCCTCCTCCCCCCCCCCATGCACCTCCATGCTGTTGAAAGACCCGTTTGTATGAAAAATTACTGCAAAATTCCCATCGCTTTCATCCCCCAGCAGGTAAAGGATTTTGGTATGGTTCGTTGATTTTTCTCTGCCCGATTCGATCTTTAAAGGGCCCAAATTTGGGTGCGACAAAAAGCAATTCAAATAACCTCTAAGGTACATTCAAGACATGTCCCCAATTCGTTTTTTTTTCTTTTTGATTTTATTTTAGGTCCTGTAAACAGTAAGCAACAAAAAAAATGCACACTATTTAAAGTAATAAAATTAAAAAGACAAGTGACAAACATTACGTAAAACGTAACTTGTTAGTTTTTTTTGTTTTAATCCCCTTGCAAGTCACAATTCACAATTAAACCGTAGACGTGATATAATTATGTCAACCGAGACATCGCAAGACTGCAAGGGGGCGAGCCATATCCAACGTCAATGCACTTTTTTTTGTTTACCTAACGCGCTAAAACAAAAGTTATCATTTTGCGTACGTCACCGAAGAAAGCATTTATAATTTGGAAAAATCCAACAGCGAAACCGCGTCTGCTCCCCTCCCCCGCAAACCACTCCTCACGGATCATCGTGTGGCGCACGTGACTGCCGAGCCAATTCCTCGGGACCACGTGGGAGCTTGGCAGGTAAACTCACCTGGCACTCACCGCCCGCCAATCCCACAACTTTTGCCATCTCACCACAATTCGCCCCCCCCCCCCCCCCCTCAACCAAGTTTTAGAGACAAACCGGTTCCAAATTTTTTGTTACAAAAAAACCGGCACAACCCGCGAGCCCAGGCAGCGGCGGGCAAGGGCCCCCCCGCCCCCCGCACACACGGATGCCCCCCACCCCTCCCCGCCCAAGCGGGCAACCTCTTGGCTAGGCACGCTTAACGCGCAGGGGCACAGCACCTCCTGCCTTCCGTGACCTCGTCCCAGATTCGGGGGCGCGAGCGTGCGCACTTCCGGTCGGGTGGGGGACGGGGCTTGGGGGGGCGCGCGGTGGGGGGGTTTGAAAAGGTTTGCTTGTGTGGAGAAAGGGCAAAGAGGACGGGGGGGGGGGGGATGAATTGCAGGAGAGGCACAGGACGTGGAGGGGGAAAGGTGCGGGTAGGGGGTGGGCGGCAGCGAGGATCGGGGGTCAGGGGAAGGAAGAAGGCGAAGACAGAGGGAAAGGGAGGAGGGGAAGGAGGAGGCAGGTTGTGTCGGCGTGGCGGGGAGGTGAATGGTGGGCTGTCCCTACGGCCGTGCGCACCCCCAAGACGACGCCGGGGGGGGACCCTCCCCCTAGTTGATCTTGTCCTGGAAGATGTACAGGTTGTTGGTGGCGGCCACGGCGATGATGTTTTCGCTCGGGTGCCAGGCCGTGTGCAGGATCTTGCGATTGAAGTCGAGGCTGTCCACGCTGATCTCGTCCTTCTTGCGCTTGCCGCCGCCCGCGCCGGCGCAGACGCGCCGCGGCTTGAGCACGGCGCGCGGCTTGCTGTTCTCGCGCGACGCCTCCAGCGTCACGTCCCGTCGCGTCCCTCGATCGAACATGCGGAAGAAGTTGTTGTACGACCCCGTCATGATGACGCTGTGCGGAGGGCAGGAGGGGGGGGGGATGCAGGAGAGACGAGCGGTCACGCATTTGTTGTCTCCGACTTGAAATCGTCCCTCGTGTTCTGCTCTATCATTGGAGTTTTTTTGGAGGAAGTTTCATCACTGGGTACACTCGAAATGTGCTGTTTTCGGCGGCATGCCATGCAGCAAATAATGTAGACTCCCTCGTCCATTATCGCTTCACATACATCGTCACTGATAGGGCGTAAATTAGGCGTCATTTTTTAAAAATTCTAGAGTCCCCCAAAGTGCCCTCCTGATCCAGCGCAAGAGCAGGGTGTGGAAGTGGAACGAGGGTGTAAAGTGGCAGCCATCACAGCCGTGCAGCTGTGCTGTCACACACACACGCAGACACGCACACACACACATTCGCATCTTCGGATAAGGCCGACAGCTGCCGAAAATAAAAGGAGCTCTCCTATTATCCAACACCGAACTCAAAATCTGCGCCATGTGTTGGAAACACGTTTGCCGTGTATATTGGCCATTGCTGTGTTATTGTGTATTTTGCGCCATGCTATATACACACACACATACATTTCTAGTGCATTCATTTGTGCACGTGTGCTTGTATAGCAGCATTAAATGCATTAAAGTTGCATGAAGTGTACATCTGGTACTCTATGTCGGCAATAACACATGTGGCGCGTAGGCCGCACCTCCCCCAAGAGATGCCCTCGCTTTATTCGGCAATGCCCTTGGCCGATGCTCGGGCTGTAAAAATGAACTGACGAATGATGTCAGCGACACTAAAAATGCCCTCGAAACAACTGTGCATCCACCTTAAATAATTTAATCTCTTCACGACGATCCTCCTCTCGTCCTGAACAGACTTCTGGGAAGAAGGGGTCGACAACGCCACGGTTGACTGTCTTCCTCTCCCCCCAATTGCCAAGTTTGATTACGCAACGACAGGACCGCGTTACCGTGCCACTCGCCAGCAAAGTCCCTGCTGCCCACTCCAAACACGCGTGCGCAACATGCTAACACTAACAGAGTCCCAGTGCACATCGACCAGGCCACGCTCATTAAGCCGTCTGCCCCCAAAGCCAGACACGAAAAACCGGCACTAACATCTGGGCCCTTGCCGGAGCACCTGTGGGGGTTGCCCCCCCCCCTTCCCCAGAGAGCTCGTTGGTTTATTCCTCCCGTCACCTGGGCGAGGCAGCTAAGGATCTGATGTGTGGTGTTGCAGGACAACAATAATGCAGGTGCGCGAGCGATGCTGCAGCAGCAGCCACACACACACGTGGTTGCCTGGCCCAATTAAAGTGACGAACAACAAGGGACACAGTGTGGATCGCGTGCGGTGGAGGGGCAGGAGCGAGCGTAATGGGAGCAACTGTAAGGGCCCCGATACCGTGCACCATGGACACCGTCTTTGGGGCTCGTTCCCCACCAACATTTCTTACGACACATTACTCTGCTGTGATTTTCGTACAGCACGATGTATAACGCGCCCTTTCACCTAAGCGGATTTATTTACGTCTCAAAGGGTACGATCAAGCAGGCGGACGGGGAAGCTACACGTTGGTCATTGTTAGCCGCCGGAATAGTTTTCAATCGGTCCGATGATTCAATCCCTGTAGCCGTCTGGTAAATTTGGATTTGGAGCGCCATTACGTGAGTTCACCGTTTGCTCTATTGTGGATATTAAAAGACCGCATTTGCCTCAACGTTGAATAGCACGGCAACCGTGAGCCCATGTAAATCCGAACCGTTACTAAATTACGATCGGCAATGTTTGAAAAGGTTATTTTCTCATTTGAGAAGGTATCACTTAAATTGAGATATTTATATAAACTAATTAGCAACACGTAGCAGGCTTTTTGCTTTATGTGCTTATTTAATGCCCAACTCTAAGGTAGGGCTGCCGCGGTGACGAGATGTTAACTACCTCGCCTGGTAGAGAGGCGGTCGTGGATTCGATCACGACCCTAACACCTGTATATTTGGAGTTAGCGCGTCTCTCTCCCCGTGGTCGCGTGGATTTTTCTCCAGATCCTCCGGGTTTTTCCCTTCACATTTAGAACTATGCGCTTGGAGTATTTGGCTGCTTCTAAATATTTCCACGTGATGAGCCCCTTCGTTAGGCTAGCATCATTTGTGGTCAGGTCGCTTCTGACTAAGAGCTATATAGCTCAGTGGGCCTTACCTGGTAAAATAAAAAATAGTTTAGTTTATAGTTGTAGTTAAGGTGAAGAAGTATTTAATTCACTGATGGTGATAAAACATCATATTTTATGTGTTACGCATGAGATTTTGTGGAAGCAAATGTAACATTTCTATATATATTTATAGCAATAAACACAGCGTGGACAATATTTGTGCCAAATTCAGCGCAACAACGCCACCCAAGGTCCATCAGGTAGACAAGGCGGTGTGTTGCCAAGCTCTCGTTCCCAATTGCCGTAGTTACCCCACACAACTGACACACCACTGTGCCACGTGCACGAGCGTGCGCGTGTGGCTGTCCCGAGGGGACCAACCTTCCATGGAAAACTTGGGACAACACCTCGACCGCCCGAGGACAGGGCCGGGGAAGAAGACGCTGCCCACTTGCTCCACACAAGTGGAGCGTGAGGAGCAGCCCAAACTGCGACTGTGGCCACCACCCAAGTCGGAGGATGGCCCCAAGCACCGAACTCCTGGCCCTGAGAGATCCATTCCCGGTGACATCGCGACCACTCGCTCTGCCTCGTCACCTGAAGCCGGCGAATGGATTGCTAACCTCGACATCAAAACTATAACCAATTCGCCGGCCATACAAAGAAGAAGAAAGGCAGAGGAGGCTCAAGCCAGGTTCAAACGCCAAGTGACAGGTCTTGTACATGGCCGAGTATTGAATCTGGGTCAGGAGGATTCGGTTATGCGGTGACAATTACTACACCGCCACTCCCCGCGCGCATCCTCGCATCACACGAAGACGGACTAGCGCATTATATTCGAGCCAACACACGCCGGAGGCGCAATTTCTGCTAGAGAACCTTCTAAGCCAGGCGACACGCTCACACACACAACCCCTCATTAGTTATAAATAACCGTTGACAGTGATGGCAGTCATTGTATAATTTAGCCCGTTTATGTTTAACTGTGACGATGCAAATTAAACGACACAAAACCCACGCGCCATATTTCACCGTGATCTGCCGCAGTGCCGTGCGCTGTTCGGCGCGCGCACCGCGCCCAAAATGCAGTTCAATGTCGCACGAAAACCATGCACAGAGCAGCCCATTAAGCGCAGCGCGCAGACAGGTTCTGCGTGCGTGCGTGAGAGATCAATGTGGAATTCCCACGGGCAGGACAGCATTGCCATGCAGAAACATTAATGTTGGGGTGTGATGAGCGACCGTGGTGGCTGTGTTCGTGAAGCCACAGCGCGATCATTACATCTCATCCATGATCATCTCACGTCTTGTGCTGCAAGTACCGGCCTCCTCTGAATGAGAAATCTTATTCTCGGAGATAAAAGTTAATCAAATTATTTTAAATTATATAACTATACGCTTGATCGTGCATCTTTAATGACGAGATGACGGCGTTCTGGAGTGGCAGATCTAAGGCCACAAAGGCACCACGTGTTTAGGCAAAAATTAAATTTACGTTAAAAACAACAAGTGTATTCTGACTCGGTACATGAACAATAACCAAACTCGCGTGTTTGATTAATTTGAACACACAATTCAACATTGTTGTGACTAGGGTATGTAAAAATTAGTGAAGCTGGTTGTTCAAGGTTTGTCTAGATATACATCATTGAGAATGGTCAACGCCTTTGTCTTTGTTGCACTCTGCCTGCGTGCGGTGCATGCATAGGCGTGGATTTTTTCTCATCAGGGCTGCAACTGATGGCCAACTGGCTCATGGATGTAATTAGCAGCGTCTGGATTAGTCGCCAGGAAGAACACTGTTGTACTCACTGCATGTTTCATTTGTGGGTTAACACGCTGGATATGATTGCGCGCAAACTGTTGAGACCAAGTGAACAGAAACTAAAGCGTTATGATGGGGGTGAGGGTGCCCACTCGTCCATGCCATCGAATGCAAATATTAAAACCGCATTGCAATGGCGTTGATTCGCGGGACTGAACAGAACCTTTCCTTCCTTCTAAGCCCAAAAATAAAATTCTCTGCTCCTGTTGAAAGATAACTCGAATTGACAGAGAATCAAGCAAAATCACAAGCTTTCTGCAAAGCAATTTCCTTCACAGCACACGAGGTCCATTTTGTTTACTCTTACCAGATGGCAAAGTGTGCAACAAATTACACAGTCATCTACTCAACGTGGCCATGCTAACATTTTTTTCTCCCAAAAGTGGGCCCAGGTGACTTCATGTGGCGAATACTCTCGCTCTGTTTAACACATAGCAGGCTTTCGCGACCGATATTATTCCTAATAAAGTCTTTGGTTTAGATCGCGTTATTTATAAATGTGTCGTAACCCTCCACCACCTCACACAGCCAATCAGTAAAAAAAGTGTCACGTTGACAAAAGACAAAATAGTTCACTACTTTAGCCCACTGGTGTGTTGAAGAGTGAATCCACAACATTTACAGTTTTTTTGTAAATGTTGTGGATTCACGGTAACTTCAGGGTCAGTGCTCAATGTTACAAGCAATGCTGTTGCACAGAGGCTGTGTCTGCAAATAGAAGAGCCCATCACAATTAGCGATGCGAACTTTGATGAACACAATGCGTGTTGTGTTTTTTTTATCAGTTCCGCCAATCAAAACGCCAAAGACTTTGATCAGGGCACAACATCCAATGACAACCTTTGCTGCCGAGCTTTTAAGACAAAATAAAAATATGTCGGAAACAAAACACCAACCTTAATGCCCGCGAAAAACCTTCACGTTGATCAATTTCACACAACAGCCGACGGCTGCATGGATTTAAAAAAAATATATATACAAACCTCCCCCAAACCTACCCTACAACATGTGTTCATATGTCCCCCCACCCCACAGATCAGCACCGTGACAGCTGATGACAGACGGGGCAGGCTGGGAAGACGATTACATGGCTGCGGAGGACACATTGACTGACTTGCGCAGACCAACTCGTGTCTCGTCTCACGGTGGTAGCTTCAACTGTCGGGATTTTTCTTTATCGCCTCCGTTCAGCTCCATTTATCCCCACCACCCCTGCAAATAACTCATTAACCAGAAAAAAGAAAAGGCACATCACGCGGCTCATAGCTGCCACCTCCACCAGTGTCAAGGGCTATTCCAGCAGGAGTCACAGCAGCCTCGTGGCTTCTCTCTCCACGTTCACTATTCCACAACGATCGCAGCGGCGACTTTTTGGGCGAGCCATCTAACAAAGACTGGTCACCGCATCGCGCGCTTTCGGCGCGCTTCTGCAGGCCGTCTGGAACGCTTCTTCCGTGCGATATTAGGAAGCCATTGGGAGCTGTGCACTTTTAAATCATCTAGATTGAAAACTCATTTCTTTAGAACTGCTTTTTGTGTTTAGTTTGTTGTCCTTACCCTGCACCTCCCCCGCACCTCCGATTAGCACGGTTGGCTACGTACGGTGCGAAATAAGTTCAACAAACGTGCATACAGACACAATCTCATGATTTCTTGATGCCAGTATTCACCATTTCCGTTAAAATGCAAACTTTCAAAGGTGATGCAGAGTATGCTTTTAGTGACAATGGTGAATAAAAGTGGTTTTAGGGCATGAATATAACTTTTTTTAACTAAAACTATTTTTTATTTTACCAGGTAAGGGCCCACTTGGCTATATCGGTCTTTTCAGAAGCGACCTGGCCACAAATGATAGCTCAACCAAGTGGCTTGTCATCGTGTGGACATTTATAGCAGCCAAATACTCGTTTAAAAATGCGGAGCTAAAAACCGTAGGACCTGGAGAAAAATTCACGCAACCACGGGGAGAGAAACATGCAAACTCCAAATATGCAGCAGGCGTCAGGGTCAGAATGGAACCCACGGCCTCCTGTATACCAAGCGAGGTTGTTCGCATGTAAAGAGGTCACGTTTTTATCAAGATACAAAATTGGCCACGTAAATTACACAAAATGTTAAGCATCAATACAACTCTGCATCATTGAAAGCTGAATGCGAAACAACTACAGGAAATTATTATTTTTTCCCATTCAAGATGGAACCTTCCTAATATACAAGTCTTCATTTTGACACTGACTGCCTTTTTGCTGACAATGAGAAGCATGTGGCATTGTATTAAGTCAGACCGGGGCCGTGGAAATGTGTGGTTCTACTCCCAAGATTTCACCTGCTCTCCCATCACCTCCATCAGCTGCCAAGAAGAAAGCAGCGCAATGTCACAGCGATTACCGCGTCTCCCGAGGACTTCGCCTCGGCGCAGAGACACCCACGTCTGGGTCAGAGCGTCCCAAAAGCACTTAAAATAACAAAGGCGCTTATTTTATCTCGACAAACAATTACCACTTCATATTACTATATTCCCACGAAGCAATTTTGTGGTTGTGGACCGTGCCGTAATTAATATTTTCATTAAATAATCATGCAAAATGACAAAACTAGTACACGACTAATCATGTGAGCAAAAATGTGATATCGTTACTCAATTCCCATCAAGTGTTTATTCATAAAAAATATATATATTTTAGGCTTAGATCGCTTAAGTATAAATGTGTCGTTAATCCGCTGCCACCCAACTGTCAATTGGTGAGGTTTGTCATGTAAACAAAACAATCCAATTAGCTACTACTTCAGCCCACCGGTGTGTTAGAGTATTGCAGCCTGTGGGTATATTTTCAGCAAATCAGAGCTGAAGAACAAAAACTGAAACAAGATGGCCAAGTTGAGGCAACCTACAATTCCTTTTCAAGAAAAATACAAAAAATAAGTAAAATAATGCAAAAGCGTTCATTGTATATGATAGGAGCATGTACAACGAACGATGGTCGCGGCCAATTTCCACCGACATTTGTAAGCTGCACCAGGAAGTTGAAACAAAGACGGTGGTGAGAGGAGAGTGGCACCAGGCCGGTGCTGCCACCAGCGTGGCGACATCAACAGCTTCTCTCTCTCTCTCCCTGCTCACAAGAAGGTTAAATTGTGGCCTGGAAACGAACACAATTGTGGTGCCAAAACATTATGTGCATCGGCTACGTAAACACAAATACGTACGGCACACAGGCACGCTGCTTCTTTTATTATACATTCGAGCATTTGGCTGCTATACATTTCTACGTGACGATAAGCCACTTCGTTGAGTTATCATTTGTGATAGCCACCGCTTCTGAAAAAAAGGCTACCTGGTAAAATACCAAAAAATCTTTATTTTTCTTTTATATTTGTAGAATGTGTGATGTAATCGGATGGAAACACACAAGCTCAGGAAACCATGACGTTTATCAAACCTCGTTACAGATGAGGATCGCTGTTTGAGGCTAGATCGGTGGCAGTGAGTGAAGCCCATGCCATTTTGCCTTTGCGCCAAACTTTTATTTAGCCGATGAGGAGTCTCTTATTGGACGAAACGTATAACAGCTTTGTTGTTGTTTAAAGAGGGAAGGGGGGTTTGTTCCTTACCTGTCAGTGCCGTTCCATGCACATTCAAACTTGTCGAAGATGCAGTCGTTCTCGTACAAGGAGCACAGCTTGCTCCTCAGGTACTCGTGCACCTTTAAACAGCAGCAACATGAACAAGCAAACTCACTTAACAATGCCATCCCCCAGCCAGCAATTCACGGAGCGCTTCAATGACGATGGGTTCTTAAACAAAGATGGAAGCATGAGATGACCGAACACAGTTTTATACACGAAATGATGGCCACTCCCAACTCTTAGTTTCGCCAGCTACGCAAGTGCCGCAGAGATTCAGCTAAAGCTTCGGCTAGAGACAGGTTCGCGTAGTCCCCATATACTTCACAGCCGAGTCCCGGTTCAAATTCCATTTAGATGGAAAATGTTCACTCAAACAAGAGGAAGTGTAATGTGGACACGCCACAGCGTGAGCTTTCTGTCGTCTACATAGCGAAGGATTATTCAGCTCCTGCCGTACACGAATGCAGAGCAAAGGGGCAAGCATCCTCAAGAGCGAGTTTTACACCCGGCCTACAAACTCAACTATTAAACTATTTTTGTATTTTACCAGGTAAGGCCCACTGAGCTATTACGTTCTTTTTCAGAAGCAACCTGGCTATCACAAATGATAGCTCAACGAAGTGGCTTATCACGTGGAAAATGTATAGCAGCCAAATTACACAAAACTCACGTTTGACTCTAAATGTGGAGAGAAAAAACGAAGGACCCGGAGAAAAATCCACACCACCATTGGGAGCACGTGCAAACTCCAAATATACAACAGGCGTCAGGGTTGGGATCAAACCCACGACGTCCTGCATACGAGGCGAGGTAGTTAATATACGCTGTAGGTGGTGCTCAAACACCTTCTAAGCCAGGCGACACGCGCACACACACACCCTCGTTAGGCATAAATAACCGTTGACAGTGATGGCACTCATTGCATAATAACATGCGTTTATATTAGTCAGATTACTTGGCTGTTATACATTCTCCCATGATAAGCCACTTGAGTTTAGCTATCATTTGTGGCCAGGTCACTTCAATAGCTCAGTGGGCTTTACCTGGTAAAATAAAAATTGCTAAGTTATCTTTTTTTAGTTATTTGTTTACCTTACATGCACTTTGCAATTCCTATCGCGTTTTTGCCTCGTTCGTTGTTGTAAATTTCTGACCCGCCCCCGTATTGTACGTCTGTGGCGAAGAGCTTCATAGCTCATCGGATTCCTCCAGGATAAATCAAGATTGTGACTGCGAGGTGCTGCCGAGTGCGGAGGGGTCTGAAAGGTGGCGGCGCACCTGGTACGTCTCGATGGGCCGGGTCTCCATGTTGAGGTCCCACACTTTGACCGTGAGGTAATCGCGCGTCATCATGTAGCGCCCACTGTGGCTGAACTTCACGTCGGAGATGGACGAGATGATCTCCGAGAAGAATGAGCGATTGCTGGGGTCCTCGGGCTCCTCAAACACTGCAGGGGTTTGCGAGAAGACAGCGAAACACGGCCACTGTTAACGTCAACTCCGGCGTCATTTCCATTCGACAGCAAGCGACGTCATTTTAACAGTCCGCACTGTGTAATGTATAATCGTTACACAGCGGCAAGACGTTAACCACCTCCCGACACCTGTACATTTGGAGTTTGCATGTCTCTCTCTCCCCATGGCCGTGTGGATGTGTCTCTGGGTCCTTCGGTTTTTCCCTCCACATTTAGAATCCTGCGTTTAAGACTATTTAGCTGCGATGCATTTACACATGATAAGCCACTTCGTTGAGCTATTATTTGTGTCCGGGTCGCTTCTAAAAAAGAGCTACATAGCTCAGTGGGCTTTACCTGGTAAAAGAAAAAATACAAAAATTGCCCAAATTTCCAAACAGGAAAAAATTCGTAGCAATGCCGTATAAAAGCAGGAATGGAACTCCACAGACGAAAATTCTTGGGAGACGTTTTGGGTGGACTGCTATCGAATGGTCAACAACCCCCTTTATCAAATTCAAGTCCTCAGACAAATAAAGCAGTGGGTGGCGTCCCCGAAAGGGGTCACGGGAGGTCTCTCCCTCTGTCTGTGTCTCTATCTCTCCCCGCGTGTCTATCTCTCTCTATTCCCATGTGCGTGAACGGTAGTGTAGCGATTAGCATGCTGCGCTACGAACACGGCGACCCAAGTTAGATTCCCGATCACGGTCAACATCGGTGACGATTATCTGAATCGGTCCTGGGCCTCCCCTAGGACGACTCAGCCTCAAATGAGTACCTGATGTGGTGTGTTAACATCGCCACTGGGGAGACAAAGGCGGCCGAGCGTGGTGCTGGCCACACATCCCCTCGTGTGCCATGCAGGCCTTCATAAGTACTCGCTAACAGCACTTGACCCAAAGTCTGTTAAGGCTATATGGCGGATCTTTGTCCATGTCTTTGTGTGTGTGCACACACGATGTGGTGACATCACCACCACTTTGTGGCAAATGGTGGCTGCTTTTGTTTATTCACTTTTTAAAATGAGTTCCCAATTGAAAAAGAGTTGTAGAAAACCCAGGTATAGGGCATAAAGGACACCACCTCAATCCCAAATGGCTAAACCCTACCACTCAAGATTATAGAACTGGGCACAAGTAAAATTATCAGTTGTGGATTGGCCCAGAACTGTGCAACAGAAGCACACAAGGGGCCACGGACCTCACCCGTTGCATTCCATTCAGTAGCATCGATTTCCCGAATAACTTGAACGTCAATAACCATACAATGTTTAAGAGCCAATACACTTAAAAAAAATAACATGTAACATGCATACATATGTCTGAATGGTGAGACACACTGCAATAACGTACACATCCTGAGGTTTAGTGAACCGCGTGGGAAAGAAAGCAATTTCTTTGGACGTCAATGTCAGGAAACTTTTTATGAACCATTTACGTTGTTGGCATTACTCCCATTTGAATCTTGCCCACACACAAAACAACGCACATCGGCCCTTTTGCTCAGAGGATGTGGAGGCAAAGTGCTGTCATAGCAATTGCTTACTACGGCAGACGTAGCACAAAGAGGGTGGGTGGGGTGGTGATGATGATGCAGCCAGGAGTATTGCTGCTCACCGCAGTGTTAATGCTCACAGGCTCCACAGCGTTAATGCTCACAGGCTCCACAGCAACCACTCCCAAATCCCTCATTGACAGGCTGGGCGGCTCAAGGTCACGGCGCTAAGCAAGCACCACTCAGATCCCGCGTTTGAATCTCCGTAAGCCACCTGTGATGAAACCAGGCTCTCGAGTGTGGTGCAGTGGAGTTGACGGCCATGAATGACCGGGTCACCAATGAGAGCGCTATAAACCATCACGTCATCTTGTTTTGTACGCGTTGGTTTTATTCGGGTGCTGCAAGTTTCCTCTCACGCACACCCTCATTGCTCCCATGCGCACTCTTAAAAAGGAAGTAGCCCAAGCAGGGCTGTCCTAAAAGCGCCTTGGGGATCAGTGAGACTTCTCCGAATCAATAAATGTTATTGTTGTTATTTCTGGCTATCGCCTGATGAAGCTGGTGGTAATGACCAGCGAAACGTCGGACTCAAATTGTAAATGTTGTGGATTTACTCTCCAACACACCGGTGTGCTGAACTAGTAACTAATTGGCAAGTTTTGTTCACGTGACAACCATTACTAATTGGTTGTGTCATGTGGTGGCGGGTTTAATGACATTTACATTTATGCGATCAAACTCCAAAACAACGTTATGGTTATTATTATTATTGTCATTACACTGCCACTGCGCACAGATAGGACTGTAATGAAGTTGCAGGACTCGCTGGATCAAAGTTTGCAAATCACTAAACACCTCTTCCCCACTTTCACACAAACACACACACATTTGTTCGTGCCTTCACCGTAGAGACATGCAGTGCGGCATTGAAAGTGGCAGAGACGTAGCCATCCGTCCATCCAACCCCGTCTGCACCCCTCCAGCTTGTAACAAATGTCTACGCTATTCCATGCCTCACTTATCCAAACTCTTCTTTTTCCACCATATGTCAATCTATTTTTCACCTCGTTGGCCGCGAAGGCAAAACTGTTGCATATCACTTTGCGGCAGTGGCAGGAGGGCTTCCAGGGTTCAAACGCATGCAGTGTCCGGCACAGTTAATCCGCTGTTAAAATTCATCAAAGCCACGTGGCCGTTTAAGAGTACAAAACCAAATCGTCCCGTCATGGACGCGCGATAAATCCGTGTTGCCGCCTCTCGCCTGAATCGTTCGGAACGAGGGGGTCAAAATACCAACACCGAACTTGAACAAGGAGCTTCTCAGTTCAATGGGCTTCACGCGGGGAAATAAACTTCTGATTTTGATTTTTAAAAAGCTCATGAAAGTGAAAATCCAATGAACACCGCGTGATAATGTGGAGCGCAAAGAAAAAAATGGGCTCGGAAGTTAAAGTCAAAATAAATAAGAGACATGCAAAACAAACCACGCCGAGACAAACGATGCAGTCGAGAAACTCCCCATTACACAATTATCAAAAACCAAACGGAGCACTGCTGCAGCAAAGGTGGCTATGACGGATGAGAAGCGATGCCTCTCGTTCATTGTCCCTGCACAGGGAGCTGGCAGCGAACGTACAGGGGATCGGCGAGCAAACGCAATGGCTTCTCTACGGAGCGGCATTCGCCTCGCAGTGGGAAGACCTGTTGGTGGTGGTTGTGCACATCTGTAATGCAATCACTTGGCAGAGGGGGTTGGTATAGGGCTGAGCGAGCGCATGCGACTTTGGAAGGTGACACCGCAATCGCCACCTCAGCAGAACTCTCTAACCCAACAACTCGGACGGCGCGGGCTTCGTGCCCTGTAAAACGTGGTTCGTCACGCGCCAATCATCTTACATGCAGTGAAATTAACTATAAAGCTGGAGGTTTTCCATAAGAGGATTTTTATATGAATATATGAACCCCCTCCCCCCCTCTTCGCACATGATTAGCCCACAAGTGACGACATCACATTTATCCCTCTATTTAGGACCAAAACACAATTTCTCCACAACTCTGGCTGGCATCTGATGAGGCTGCTTTTAATTACTGGCGAAACGTCAGAGTACTCGAATAGTAAATGTTGTGGGTTTACTCTCAAACGCACTGGTGTGCTTAACTAATTGGCACGTGTTGTTTACGTGACAAACATTATTAATTGACTGTGTTGGGTGGTGACGGGTTTAACGACACATTTATATTGATGCGCTCTAACCAAAAAAACCCTCTATTATGGATAATATTGGTCACGAAAGCCCTACACTACGTGTTAAGCCGGAGGTTTATCTGTGCAGACCGTCATCAACTCTGTACCATTGACAGGCTGTGGATTAAACCCCGGCAATCTCAACGTCGCTGGCTCGGTGCTGGCGATGCAGGCGGCGTAGGCAAGCGCAAGAGCCGTCTTGGTACGAGCACCCCTTAACTGCCGTGCATCATCGACTGCGAGCTTCTCACTCGTTGAGCGCGACGAGATTGCATTTTTTGTTTTAATCGATACCGAAATGAAGCGCGCACAGAGGAGAGCACGCGTTGTACTTTGACCACATCTGGTGCGCGTCTTGAAATAGCAAAGAACTGAATTAGTATGGCAAAGGGGGCAGACGCGACGAAACGGCTGTAAGACGTCTGGGCAAATTGGTGCAGTTTTCTTGCTCGCAAAGGGCTGGTCATTCCTCAACACCTGCAAGCCATGGGCTAACGGTGGAAATTCCACATTGCCAAAACGAGGGCCAGTACATTCATCGGTCAACCACCGTTAATGATGAAAGTAACAAGGATGACAAAAGAATGCAGCCGCACATTTTCAACCCAAGTCTTAGAATTATCCCAGTTTTTGGTGATTAAATTGAACCCTACAGGGCATGGCAGAGACCGGCCATCATATGCAATTATAATTATGTTATTCACAATGCAATGCAATAACAATGTAATCGTTATTTCAATTAGCATTGGTTTCGTAATTGTAATTATAATTGATTCCACATCTGCTAACTGGTTTTCACCTTTGTTAAAAATTTAGTTTTTAAAATAATAATTTCTCTTAAAGCTATTGGAGAATCGACATATAATTATCCCTGGAGGTAAAGGAAGATGTTGTTAGCTGCCATTGGGTGTCAGCCCTGGAGCGTATAAAGTATTGTCGTTAAGCAGCCCCATCAAATCGTTGTGACCTGTTTCCTTGCAAGAGACACTACAAACAGCACACCTAATCTCTCACACCCCTCCACAATAACACATTCTAGCATTATTTAATTTAACGTTGAACTATTTAAACATCGCAAAGGGTTGGTTCACAGCAAGGAAATGTTTTAACCCATCCTCCGAGCCATTTCGCCGTAAAATGTTGGCTAATTGTCACATTAATGAACAGCGGAGTCCCGTGTCTGATTTTCACCGGGTTTCCTCAGGACCAGCGGCTAAATTGTACGCGATTATAAGTGCTAGCCGAGTGCCTTTAAGGGTAATCGCCTACAATTCCAAATGTGAATGTCACTGCTTGCTGAAAAATGCAAAGCCAACTCTCGAGATGAATCTAACCACAGCCTGTCACTGCAGCCACAGTCCTTGCGACGCTTTCCTTGTGCCAAATCCCTCAGCTGGTGCAGAGTTGGCAGCCGACTTCCAAGATATGCTCTTAGAAGTCTTCCCCCGACTGGCTTTAGGCCTTCCCCACACTTGCCGACCACGGAATGTCACTCCAATGCCCTAATATGTCCAGTATCCCCTGCATTATTGAATACATTACTTTCCGTCAACACAAATACTCATCACACGGGGGGGGGCGGGAGGGAAGCACATGAAAGACGTGACACAAATGTGAAATACTACACAAGCCAAAAGTGCTACAGCTAAGCTGTGCAGCGTAGCTTTTCAGATTGTGTCAATTCCTATTTGTTTTCATTATGACGTCTAGAAAATAGTCAGTGTATATGGAAGGACAGGGCTGCTTTATATAACGATCTGATAAATATTCGTAGCAGGGAAGTACACACACACACGCAATAATATTGCAGTGGTGAACAGAATGATTAGTTGTGTCACTTTTGTGATCGGGATTTTAAAATGACCAAATTGTTTCGAAGATTAAAGCCAGTGGCTATTACAGACTACTGGTTCGTATATGCTCCAGCGGACTAGCATGTCAATGTTTGACAATATTATAATTATCAATGTATTCAGGAACCAGATGTTCGGCGCAATAATTGTATTCGTCCATTTGGTAGCCCTCCATCTTCAACAGCAGGGAAAGCCAAGATGAATGCCAATGGAGACCACTTTCTTTAATTTTTTTAAACGCTGCGAACGCCCACAAATCAATCTCCTCCTCTTGCCGACAAGCGGCGATCTTGCCCAGTGAGAAGCTACCATTTCCAACAAGGGTCAATCAGGCATTTTCACACACAAGCCTAAATTGGTAATGGAAGAAAAAAGCTGTTGAAATACAAAACGAAGTAATGAATAAAGGCCGGTGTAACCATCCTCCGGACATCCAAACCCGACTATCACTTTATTATCTTTGGCATTTTCTGGGTGATATCATTTAGGGGCAGCCGGTGAGAAGTGTGGCCTGGAGGCACTTGCTTCGGGGAAGAGGTTTTTTTTTTTCCCCACTGAGAGCTATCACCGCTACAACAACCATCGCAAGCCATTTGCGGGCCAATTACGGCTGTTGGCAATGAAGCACTTGGAGAAAAAGGGGTTTTGCGTCACCCTGCTTTCTACCCGCAGACACACACAGCCACGCGTATGTTTCTCTCATCGTGATGAAAACTACCGTTCAGATTAAGACGGTCGCCCAGTTCCCCACCCCCACTCCATCTTTTTGTTGAAGTGATTGAAGACAACGGGGGGCCTCGTGCGCGTCAGTGTGTGTGTCTGTGTGTTTTTGTCTTTGTGTGTGTCTGTGTGTGGGGTGTGGTTGTGTCGTGGGTTAGCGCTACGCTGCGCAATGAACCCGGGGGACCCGAGTTTGATTCCCGCCCACGGCCAACACCAGTGACGATTATTTGAACCGGTTCTGGGTCTCCCCTAGGTCGACTCAACCTCAAATGAGCACCTGGTGCGGTGTGTAAACATCGCAACTGGGGAAACAAAGGTGACCGTCCGTGGTGCTGACCACCCACCACCTCGTGTTTCGTGCCAGCCTACATAGGTGCTGGAAGTCTGCGTTCGCGCGTATGTGCGTAGTGAGGATGCGTGAAGCAAAAGGGGGGGGGGGGGGCTCACGTTTTGAGTGGCGGTCGCAGAGGGCCGAGGCACGCATGTCGCACAGCCGCACGGTGCCCTTGCTGCTGCTATAGACGAACATGTTGCACTGCAGTGGGTGGAACTCGGCCGCCGTGATCACCTCCGTCAGCTCCTCCATGTTCGCCGGCTTGATGTCGACAATGTCTTAGTCGGCGGCGGGTGGAGGAGGGGTGGGTGGGGGTTGGGTTGTGGGAGGTGGCAGTTAAGGTGCAAGCAACCGCTGGAACAATGAAACGCCGAACAGAACAGCGGCTGCTGGTCGCCTCTGGGTAGTTTGCGCGTTACCCCATAATCCTTGATGGTGTTACCACCTTAAGTTTTAAAGACCGAGGCGAGGGTCAAAATCACACTCTGCCCCGTCGCCAACATCGCCCTCGCCCAAAACTAAACTATTTTTTATCTTGCCAGGTAAGGCCCACTGAACTACGTAGCTCTTTTTCAGAAGTGACCTGGCTCAAATGACAACTCAACGAAGTGGCTTATCACGTGGAAATTTATAGCTGCGGCAAAAACACTCTAAATGCGTGATGCCGATTCTAAACGTGGAGGGAAAACCCGAAGGGGCCGGAGAAAAATCCACGCGACCACGCGGAGAGAGAACACCCAAACTCCAAATGTACAGGCATCAGGGTCGGGATCGAACCGACGACTTATTGCACACCAAGCGAGGTCGTTAACATCTCCCCACCATGGACACCCCCCCTGTGTAAGGAGCACCGGCTGGGCCAAGGCTGCCCCGCCGGGTGAAGGTGGAGGCCACGTGTTTCCCCGTTGTTGGGTTGTGCACCATGCACCGCTCGTGTTATTTGGTACAACTGCAAACACATCGGAGAGCCATGCAGCACAACCGCGAACGCCTGCGCAGAAGTCGTCAATGTTGGTGACGTTCAGCAGGGACTGATATCTGCCGTATAAATGTAGAATTCACAACACTGCCTGAGGGGCTGCCGATAGAGATGGAGTCATTTGGCGGGGCGACTAGATCCATCTGGGTGCCCTCTCTTACCGTTCTGCTCATTGCTGAGAGTTCGCGACCTCGATGATTAAGCTACTCCCCTCTGCCATTTTGGGCTTTGTTGGAACGTTGCTTCACTGTCGTCCTGGTTACATGCACGTCACCATCCGTCCACCTCAGTCAGTTTTCCTTCCACTTGACCAAACCGTTTCTCCAGGATTTCCCTTGCACACCTGTAGCTACAAAAAATACTTGGGTTTCCATCTTCCTATGTCAGTGTGGACTGGCTTTTTCACCAAACCCTTGTCGTACAGCTTTGCTGGTTTCTCGCATAGTCTTCTCCAGCACCAGAGTCGAGATTCTGTGTTCGTTCCCCTATCTGCTGCACGTGTGTGCGTGCGTGTCCATCTGATTGCGAGGAGCGGTAAAGTAGCGGTAACGCTGCGCTACGAACCCGGTAAAGCGAGTTCGATTCCTGCTCACGGCCAACACCAGTGACGATTATCTTAACCGGTGATGGGGCTCCCCTAGGTCGACTCAGCCTCAAATAAGTACCTGGTGCGGTGTGTAAACATTGCTACTGGAGAAACAAAGGCGGCCGGGCGTACTGCTGGCAACCTATCCCCTAGTGTACCGTGCCAGCCTTCATAGGTGCTCGCGAACAGCACTTGCCCCTACAGCATGTTACAGACTATACAGGAAAACTTTGTCTTTGCATCCTATTGCTCACATAAAATACATTTTCAAGTCTCTCTCATTCAACTGCCCCTTGGGAAATAATGCACATGCGCGCACACACACACATTATTAAGATGAAAGAGCGCGAGTCAACACATGCGCCAATGGATAACCTACGACGTGCAGGTACGGGAGCATTTGGTTTAATTGCTTCTGTATCACTCATTATTCAACTGCTGCACGACTGTGAACAACTAAACTAGCAGATAGTGCCTATGTAACTGACGAAAGGTTATTCGTGATTGATAATTAATTGAACAGTGACCAATGCTGCGCAGTATGAAACTGCTGGGCTTATAGAGATGGAGATGAAGCGGAATCAGCCAGCGTGTTGAGCGATGTATGTTGAACTTCTTTCGCACCGTACGTAGCCAACCGTGCTAATCGGAGGTGCAGATGCTGCTGGTACCACATGTGAAGTGGCCGTGTTTTCATGCAAGCCAAATATTATATTTTTCCCCAACTATATTTGGAACTTATAATTTATATATTTAATTGACGGCTGCAATGACGGTGTGGGTAAAATTTTGGTCGAAAAAAAACCTACTGTTCTTTTTAGGCAATGTATTTGTTCCGGACTCAAATGGCTGTAATTTTCACTTTGCAGGCACCCAAACCACGACGAAGAGGTGGCATGATTTTGTAAGAATCAATGACAACATCTAATCAGACACCGCAGATGGCGCGGCGACTGGAATCCAACGTCGACTCTGCAGACGCACTCCGCTGTGCTCGAACTGTCCGGCCATCAGCCCGATTGGGGTGTCAAGAACAGCACGAAACACCGGCAGGTGTAACACACCCTTTCACGATCCCCCGCAAAGACAAAGATCCCACTGTGTAGCCTTAAGGGACCGTTGGGGCAAGCGCTGTTAGCGAGTAGCACCTATGAAGGCCGGCACGGCACACGAGGTGGCTGGCCGGCACCACGCCCGGCCGCCTTTGTTTCCCAGTGGCGATGTTTACACACCGCACCAGGTACCCATGTTGAGGCCGAGTCGACCTAGGGGAAGCCCAGGACCAGTTCAGATCATCGTCACTGTGGTGTTGGCCACGAGCGGGAAGCGAACTCGGGTCGTTGGGTTCGAAGTGCAAAGCGCCAACCTCTACGCCACTGCACACGCACACGCGCGCGAGTGTGCGCGTGAGTGTGTGCCTGTGTGCGGTTTGCGTTTTGGCATTTGCTCCGTGGCCGCACGGTGATGTGCTCCCTGTCAGGATTCATTAGCACGGGAGGCGCGGGAACTGGCGGCCAATTGAGCGCACAATTCAGCCGCTCGGTTATAGCTGCACCTGTCAATCTGATTGCTGTTAAAATACAAATACTCTCATGTATTTTATCACCGACAAGGCAATGATTGCACGGTCGGCGCTCACTGTCTCGCGGTCTGCGTCTCCATGGCGACAGGCAAGAGCCAATACGCGTTGTGGTATCGGCGACTCTCAGTGAAAATGTCTACCCAACCAAATATTTCTCTGCGTATTCTACCCCAGTTCTCCTTTGCGAAAGTGATATGTTGCCTCAACGGGCTCCTCCCACAGTTGAAAACAATATTTAAAAAACCCTCCTGAGACAGCTTATACAACCACAACAATGATTTCAACACCAACGTGTCTGTGTTTGAATTATCACAGAACTGCGAACGCACAATCCCAAGAACAGAAAACTAATACACAAAGCTCGCAATTATTCTTTATCAACCTCGATAAATCCGAGGTACAGTGGGACCAAAAAAACTGGAAAAGCAAAAAACGCGTGGCAGCGTCTCTAAGGGCGCCGGTGGTTTCCACGTCGTTCTACCGCGACATGAATTATACACAGAGAGCAAGGCTACTCTCCTGCCTGCTATCGCACTGTACCGCGCTACAGCTGGAGGAGCAGGCCGTGTCATCCCAGCGATTGCAGAATGCTCGCGCACTCAGATTGCGCGGTTCGATAGAGCGAATCCTGCAGCTGCCTGGGACTGCCAAAGCGAGCCGTCTGCAGAAACGGATGATGATCATGACGACGATTCTATCAATAATGCACGTTCAGTTTAGTAGCGCGTCAGAATGCACGAGCGCACGACCAAGGTCATGGGCAAGGTGTGGGGGCACCGCGTAGCACTGCCAAGACAGCCGACGTCGGTGGTGGCCCTGGCCGACCCGGCAGGCAATGCGCCTCGTTCTGTCCTCGCCTGGTGTCAGCGTGCCAATGTTTGGGGTCAGTTACGATCCCGACCAACGTCCGTGGGCTCTCAGCAGGCGTCCGCCCGCATGGTCAACAGAAAACCTCTGCTGGACGCCATCTGCTTTGGATACCCTTCTCCCCTGGCTGGAGGGCGTCCCAGGAATGGGCGCGAATTGTTGGCCCGGCCAGCTTTCTTAACGTTGCCGCTCGTCTGTGTGCGCGAGGTTTTAACTTACTGGCTTATCTAATTCTACAAAGAGACAAACATCCAATATCACCGTGGAATATTAGAAAGCCGATGGCCACGTCAGAGTACTGGGCGAGCATTGCCGAGACCTTGGGTTCCAAGTCTGAATTTCCCCCCAACTCGAGATTAATTCGAGTTAATACCTAAGAAATGTGTCATGATTGAACCTCAATCGAGAAGTCATCGTAATCATGGAATTAAATAGTTTAAAAGTAATTACTTTATAGTGCTTCTAGTTTTCATACTGACTTTTAATAGAGAGTTAGGACGACACAATCATCTGCTACCACCTGCCAGAAACATTTCGCTGCACTTAACTGAATCTCATCACTGGAAATCACTGTCAAAACAACTTGTCATTGCTACGCGTGATATTGTGCAGAACTGAGGCCAAAAAAGGGCCAGCTTAACCCCACAGATGGGGGTCGCGCTGTAGCCCCAGGGAGACTGGTGTCCGTGACCCAACCAATGAGCAGCTCCTAGTAATCCAGGCCAGTGACCCTCGGGTGAGAAATCCCTCATCAACTTACACCGCAGAGGAATGGCAAATCTGTTCATCTACAGCATATACACTGTTACTGTTTGTGGACAGCAGTTTGCAGTGGTTAGCATGCCGCCCTGCGCCATGCATCTGGAGATCCGAGTTTGATTTCAAGTCAAGGCCGACAACCGTGGCGAGGTATCCTGACGCGGTAGTGGGCGCCCTCCTCCAACAACCCGCACCTCCGATTAGCACGGTTGGCTCCCAACGCTGCGAAACAAGTTCAACATACATACCAAAACCCCATGATCGATACCATGTGGTGAGGCCTTCATCCAGCAGGATATTTGCCAAGGGCGGTAAATGATAATTATTATAATTATATATTGTGTTTATACATGCAACGTCTGTTCATTTATCCGTCAGCTTTTGTAATTGGCCGATCACACGGTCTGCCGTCGATGATGGCAACACCTCGCCAAGGCGCCGTGCTGGGTGTGAACGAGCTCTCTGTGATTGTGGGCGAGAGCACGTCGCACCACGGCCAAAGGCA